AGTCTAGTCCTGCCAAGAATGTAATAAGGGTTAACGGAGAGGCAGTTTCTGTAAGCAACCCCAGAATGTTTCCTTCCTGCCTTCCTTACAGGATTAGGCCAGTAATTTCTTCTAACAACCGGTTCTCCAAACTGCTTAGAATGTTAACAACCTGTTCTAGAGAATAAGTGCAAACTGGTAGAATCCCACCCCTGGTTTCTTTGGGTCATGCCCCATTTATCTGGAAAGGACAGTATTTTGTGGTAACACTTTTTCCAACTATTGCAAATGTTCTATCTGGAACCCCTTAAAAATGAACTGGAGGCTTCAATTAATATAAAACAGTATGGATCATTGGACACATATTAAATTCACTTTGTGGGTCCCAAATTTGATTCCTATTACCTTTAGGAGCAAGTTAAAGTGATGGTTTTAACTACAAAGTCCTTTACGATTTTGGTTCACCAGCAAGACTGCATCTCTCCAATAGAGTTGGACCATTATTTTAATCAATGTCAAGAGAAGCAGCTGACTTTAGGTCAGGAGGCCCCAAACCTGGAAATAGCTTTCTAGAATGAGCTACCATTAAGTTATCTGCTTCCAAAGTTTTGTGGCCTAAAGCTTGCACTATATTTGGGGTTTATGTTTTTATTTTTATATTTGTGTATTCATACTTTTGTGAACTACTGAGATCTTGTGATTATAGCAGGATACAAATTGAGAAGAGCATGTTCAAGGACAATTGCTTTACATACTGCAGTTGCTAATGGGTAGGATGGTTGCCATCTGTCCTTTTTAAAACTTTCACCTGCATCTTTCTTCCTCTTTCTGTCTCATCCCAGTTTAAATTTTACATTAAAATAGCTATGGTGTACTTCTGATAAAATTAACAGCAGCCTACAAAAGTATATGCCTTTCCAATAAAATGTGCTATCAGATTTCTCATTTCTGGCTACCATTGAACAATACAGCTTTCCTTCCACGTTCTCTGGAAAGAGGAACTGATATTTCTTGGCTTTGTATCAGGATAATAATAACCACTATAAATCTTGATCTGATGACATGTTCATGACCATGTGAAATAGAGGAATGGGAGGACTTTATAGTCTCCAATCTACTATTTGAATGGAGTTCCTAAAATTGTAGTAGAAAGTCCATGTTTACATAATTGCACGTCAAGAATTTAATGTATAAAAATTGAGTTTGAGATCACTATTGGTTCTAGCCCTAAGAAGAAGAAAAATAGGATGAAATCCTACATGTGCTGAGAATGCTTGACAAGATTTAACCAAGTAAAAATGCATACTGCTAAACTAGCAGACGTCGTAACTTGAATGACTGAAGAAAGTCAATTCTATTTTGTTGAAATGTACTTTAAAAATGGATGTGTAAACACCAACCTTAGAACAAGATAAAACTAGTAGGAAAGAGTATATAGCTTTTTCAACATCATTAGCAATAAACATGCTGATTGAGAAAAATCACAAGCAACATGTATAATGAAAGAGAATTTCTCTTTCTAGTAAAGATTTAACTGCAGAAAAAATGCAGGAGTGAAATATAGCTCCTGATCTTTCCTGCTGGAGAAGAGCAATGCAGCAAAATTAGCAATTCAATAAAATTAAATTTCCTGGGGAAAAAAAAAGCTAGTATTTTGCTTGAAGAGTTGCTAAAGCACAGTGTAAAAACAACTCAACCATGGGAAGTCACAGATGAGTAAAATAAAAGCTTCATTTTGGTGATCATCTGTAAAAATAGGAATAAGAATATTATTGGATTATACTGTTTCATTATGTAAGCATGACATTCTTTATACGCTTTTTATCTCAAAACTGACTGCACAACAGATGCAAGCAGGTATGAAAGAAATAAATTAGTATAGGGTCAATTTCCTCCACACATCTACAACTAGATTCGAGACATCAAACTATGTATTTGAAATGGAAAAATTTAAAATAACATGTATCACATTATTCCCTCCCCCTATGCTTTAATGGATAATCTTTAGAGAACGAAGCAACAACATTCAGCTTGCAAAATCCCAGTAGTAAATGAATATGGAAAATGAAAAATATGGAATTAGATACTGAAACAGAAAATACTGGAAATATTGTTTAAGTCTTTTTATACATCACTAAAGGCAACTTTTACAAGACAGGATGTTATTTTATCCATTTGCAGTAATTTTTTCTCCTTTGAAAAGAATGAACTCTTAGGTAGACATCTAAATAAGATGACATCTAAATAAGAAAAAACAAACTGGTACGCTGGGATAACATATTCTAGATTTAGAACATTCCCTTAATATCCTGTTCATTTCAGCTAGCAATCCCTCAGTAAGAAAATTAAAGAATACCACAAGGGAATATTAAATGTCATCTCTGCATCTGCTGCCAGCAAATGTTTACCAGAGAGTCATACATTTTTCATGCTAAGTAACCTAAAACGTTAATAAGAATTCTTGACTGCTATTCTATCCAACATGAAAACTTATACAAGATATTATCTAATTAGCCTGCCACTTGATATCATTGTCTAAACATTCATTTATTCATATTCCTTATAGTGAACTGAATTGTGCCCTTGCACCATCATAAAAACATATACGGTAACTTTTAAGCAAGAATGCAATCGAATGAATTTATTCAGAAATAAGGCTTACTAATATTTAACAAACCTTTCTCCCAAATAAGCTTGTATAAGATTGCAAAAAAGGGAAGATGGAGAAATGAAATCTTAAGGTATTTGGGGGAGAAAAACAGCCTAATATTTTTAAATTTAAATTTATCTTTTATAAATGTAAGTACTGTATAATGAATATATTCTTCCTTAGGTAAATTTTAAAATGAGAAGGACAGAGCTCTAGAACAATCTAACTACCGGTAATACCTGAAATTAGGTGCTTATTCATTTCCAATGGACAAGTTATTTTTAAATACTGTTATTAAGAACACACCTATATATACCTAAACAATATGTATTACAAATACTCATGGTCATTTCCATTGTTTTCCATGTTTTATTAAAAAAATAAATCTTTGTCAACATGTTTATCAGCTTGCTGCACAAATGATCCTTTACCATAATATTAAGAGAGAAACATTGCATTCTTCACATCTTGAAAAGGAATACAAGCTCCAGGCCATTCTCAGGAACAGAACCAAACAAATAAAAACTAGGGTAGGCCACAACCTAATAAAAACAAAAGCAAAATCTAATTTCATATAAATCCAAATATTGCAACAAATAATCTTGCACGAGAATGTGCATTTTGCTATGTAGTGTTTCTCTACAATGTGTTCAAGTAACACTAAAAATAAAAAAGTAAATTACATTTGTTGTCAACCCCTTGTTTATTCTTGTTTCTCTTTTCTATTGCTACTTGGACAAATTTTAGACATAGACTGGAAAATGTAGAATAAATGTTTGTCTTTCTTTTCTAATACCAAGAATTGATTTTATGTTAATTTGAGGGAACAAATAATCTCAATTCATTTGTTTTAATACTGATAGTGTTATGAGAGCCCTACTATTGTGCATCTATTAAAAATAATTTATGGAAAGCTTTGCCACTAAGTTACAATCCTATTATTGTTACACTGAAGTCTATAGGATTTAAACAAAGTAAATGCAGGGCAGCAGACCAAAGCGATGTATTCTTCGGAATTTTTCTTTGGCAAAGCAATCTCTGATCATGTACAAAATATGACTATTGTGTAGGTGCCACCAACATAATAATAGTAAAAATTGGGTGCAAATATAATATTTTCTACATAGAATGTTCTACTGTGAAAAGGATTGTTTGTTGCAATGGCAATATTGCCTGTTTCATCTACAATATTTTTCATTTATTACATCAAAGGCATCCTCCTTCCCAACAAGAAGAATTTCTTTTTAACAAAGGCATTATTCAACAAATATATTTGCAAAAGTTTTTCAGTTCCCTTATGCGAGGGCAATATCTTGTATTTTTTAAAATGCAGTAGGACCTAGTTGCTTCCTTTTGGATTTTTATAAGTGGGTAGAAGAAGGCTATTGTCTTTTTACACAATTTAAAAATCAAATTACATCATGGAAATAATGCCAACAAGATGACTTAGAATTATTAGAGACTTCTAGTTAAGTAAGAAGCAAGCAATGACATCTAGCAATATTTTGGTTTTTCTGTGCGTTACAAAAAATAGTACTCATACATTAAAAAAAGGTTCGGATAGATAAAGCACACATGAATGCAACATTCAGAATTCTGGCAGAAAATTTAAGGTGGGCAATTTGCTGCTACATTTACAAAAAATACAATTTTATAATGAAAGGATTGTGAAAATACATTTAAACAACATTCAGGAACCACATAAAACAATAAAGGAGGATCTAACAGAACTACTCAAACCAACCTTTGAAACTCCATTAAATACTGCTTGAGCAACACTTGCAATCAGAAAGCAGCATTTCCCAAGTACTTGTGAAGTTACTTCTCCCAGTATCTGAAGCATTTGTTGCTGAATATTGTATTGCCTGCACTTGGATTTTAAATGCAAACCATTCACCTTAGAAACACAATGCATTTAGACACATTCTTAATTTTTTTTGCACATTTCTGAAGCAGAACATCTTGTAATGGCAATTGTAAATTAAAATATGAATTTGATTACCTTTCTACATAAGCATTCCCCATGCAATATAGAAGTCTTACTGGGAAATATTCAATGATAATTTTACTTAACACAGAAAAAATTAACCAATTTATCCTATAAATATTTTATTTGTTTTGTGTCTAGAATTTGCTATTAAGTTCTATAAACAGAAACACATAACAAAGGTTTCCTAAGTAGTGAAAAACATAATTAGAAAGGTTGGAAAAAGTTGGCCTAATCAACATATATACAGATTATGCTACTTAGTACATTGGGGGAACTGGATTTATGCCCTCAGCAGTAAGTTTACATACTGATAATACTAGAAGTCCATTGTTTTGGTAGACACAAGTAAATTTCAGGGTGCTTTTTTTCCCTTTTTTTAAAAAAAAATTGATGTATGGCTAACAAATGACAAAAGATTCAGTTGCTGATAAATTGTTCTGTTCTTTCCTGAAAATATTTCTCTGTTAGATTACTGTCTTTCTGCCCCTTCTTTTCTTTGTTTTGTTGTTCTTGTAGATTCAGGATTATTTTTTTTATTTCTTCTCGTTTTGTTTTCATTCTTGGACGTGGAAACCAGTCTGTTAGATTCATTGGTAGTTCAAAGCTTAGAATAGGAGTCTGGGAGAAACCAAACAGATAGATTTACAATAGCACCTACATGGAATTTCTGCATAAAAACATTGTACAAAGTATTACAACATTAGGAGTTAAAAATCTTGACAATGTTACATTTGAAACTTTTTCCAATTCTTCATGCACATTTATAAAGTTTCAATGATGGCGCCTTTCTGTGGATTCAGCTCTATCCATCATCAGTATTTCATAATAGTCTTACTCAACAATCAAGACTACTAAGAAGTCTTCCCACATAGCTACAGCTAAGATAATATTTTACCCTTTCTCACTTTTTTGAGCTCAATTCTAGAAAACAAACTTTTAAGACACTCCACACCCCCAAACATATTTTTGCCTTCTTCAGAAGCAATAGGCAAAGCATGAAACGAATAGGGAATGAATCGAATAGTGCATTTGTACAGTTCTATTATTTAAATATTACAAAATCACTATTAATAAACCAAAACTCTTTCATTGTGTGGGCAGACATTATGTATTTATTTTATTCACAGTTTATACTGTGCTAACTATGCATATGTGTGTGTGTAATTTTAACAATTACTTGCCATTTTTAAAACAATGTAAGATATAAATTATGTAAAACAAATGAAATATTGAAACCAAATTAACCAACTTATTTTTTTTTAAAAAAACCCTTTTTGTTAGAACAAAAACCCTAACATAACATTTACCTCAAAAAAGCTCTCCACATACTGTAAAACATAAACTCCGCAATCACTGAAATTGTTCTGTTGTGGCACTTTGGGGTTCGAGCCTTTCATGACATCTTTAGAGAAACTTCGTCTGCTCCCTTTCCTTACTTCCCATTCCACTTCCAAATACCTGCAACACACAAATAAAACAAGCACGAGAAGACCATTTGTATTGATTATTCCAACATGAAAGATATTTTAATATTATAGAGACTAATTACTTACTCCCTTAGTGTTCTGACAACATTTGATCGGGAAGGGCCTCTTAGTGAATCCATGAGCAGAATGCATGGCCTAAAAAAGATACAGTATGTTTTCACTTCTTTGCTATACTGTCACATTAAATCATTTTGGTTACAGATATGAAGAACCCTTTTCTGTTCATATTATGAATAAAGTATGGTACTCAATTTTGTTTTCATCCAAATATCACGTCTACAAAAATTGCATGGTGATCTATAATTAGATTTAGCCTTTGATTATATTCAATACTGAGTAGGAACCCTTGTTATAAAAATAGGTCCAAATAGAACAAAAATGGGTACACTTAAAGTAGCTCCGAAAAACTACACATTTTTGCAACCTGTGAGAGTTTAAAAACACTTTTAAAAAAATTTGTTCAGTGATATTTGAGCATTTTTTTAAAGCTACATTTAACATTCTTCCCTATACAGCAAGAGACCTTATGACTATTTATTAAGCTCTTCACAAAGGAAAAAAAATAGTTCAATATTACGAGTCAGTCTCTTGGCCTGTATTCTATATAATACTTCGAAATTAATGTCTAGAACAGTACTACAGACTGGGCTATGTATGTTTGAAAAACAATTCTTGTGGAACTTTTGTAAGACTGAAAAAATGAAACACATGGCTGCTTAAATAAGTTGCTTGACTGAAATATGTCTAATACAATTCTTCAAGTAGGAATATCTTTACTCAGACTTACAAGGAAACCTGCAAAAAAGATACAGGTATTTTACTAAGTAGCAGAGAGATGCTGCTACTCGCTACAACCCCAATTCTGAGACACTTCTTTAAGCCATTTTAAAAATATCCACAGCTGTGATATGAAATAATACCGACAAAGGAATAAATTGTTTTTCCACATTATTCCAAGAGGACAGATGCAATTTTAACTTGCAAATTATAGTACCTATATAATTTCACTAAATGGAATCTGGAAAAATAAGACTTCAGAAATATTCTCTGTTCTACACCCAATTATTTTTGATCTATTCAAAACTTTAACAGCATTATTCTTCTTTTCTCAGTCAGGGAACTTCTTGGATATAAGGAGGCAATTCTAATGATAATTCAAGCTTCCCATTACAAAAAAAAATTAAGAAACTGATTACAACAGAAAAAAACATGAAAGTGAGAGCCAGTTTGATATAGTAGTTAAGGCATCAGGCTGGAAAACAGGAGACTGTGAGTTTAGTGAGTTTTAGTTTAGTTTTAGTTTAGACACAAGGCCAGCTGGGTCACCTTAGGCAAATCATTTTCTCAGTTCTAGGAAAAAAACAATGGCAAACCTCTTCTGAAAAACCTTGCCAAGGAAACTGCAGAGACTTGTCCAAGTAGTTTTTGAGAATCAATCACAATTGAATGGAAGAAAAGAAAAGCAACATGAACAGATTTGAGGTAAAATGTTGGCATATTTAAAGAATCTTCCCCTTTTTAAAGAAAAGTTGGCATCTGATCTAATAATCCATGGACCAGTCATTCTTAGATGTCAGCCAGAGAGTAAGATACTAAACAACCATCTCTCAGAAACTACTTGGGCCAAGGTCTAGCTTAAAGAGATATTAGTCTCTTATTCTACTACTCTCAAGATAAACATTAATTCACATCTTATCAAATAATAATTATCAATTATGTCTGTTTTCTGAATTTAGCTCAATTTGATGAAGAATGTATTTACAATGGACACAGCTAATCAAAGTTGCCAGACAACTTAGATTATTATTCCTCAGAAGATTACAGTTGGATCCAGGCTTCTCTACTGAAGCACAAATTTTAGTGAAGGTTTTCTGTTAAGAAAAACAGATGGAACAAATAGTTGGTCCAGTTTCCCCTTCAGACTAGTATTCCAAAAAAGACTTTGAAAGCTAACAATACAGGTAGTCCTCTACTTGCAACAGTTCATTTAGTGACCATTTGAAGTTACAATGGCACTGAAAATAGTGATTTATGACCATTTTTCACATTTGCGACCATTGCTGCATCCCCATGATCACACAATTAAAATTCAGGTGCTTGACAACTGACTCATACTTATGACAGTTCCAGGGCTATATGATCAACTTTTGTAACCTTCTGACAAGCAAAGTCAATGGGGGAGCCAGATTCAATTATCAACTGTAATACTAACTTGACAACTGCAGTGATTCACTTAACAAATGTCTCACTTAGCAACATACATTTTGGCCATAAGAACTACCTGTAATACAGAAGTAAATTAGAAAGAATTTTAAAAATGATGGAGCAGTTTGGGAGCAAAAATTTTAATGGTTTTTAAGATGGCATTTCATCTTTATAGCTTATGTGAAGTGAATACAAGTTATAAATATCTTACTTTAAAACTTACTGTTTGCATATGGTTGGCTTTAGATGCCATTGTCCTAATTCTGAATTACAGTTATCATCAGCAAGACCATCATCATCGCTACTATTCTCCTAGGAAAAAAAAACTATTTTAATATAATGTCCAAAATCAGAATTATGAGAAAAATAGGGATCTACTACATGATCTGGAGTACATAGGCAGAAATTCAGTTTCCTCAAACTTTATCAACAGTAGCAATTAAATGTTAACTATTCTACCCTTCAAATATACCTTTGAGATTTAAAAAGTTTGGGGTGATCAGAAATATATGTCTTTTCCATCTGCTCTGGGAGAAGAATCTCAAGTTGCTAATACAAATAAAGTAGATTCTGCAAGCCTGGCATCTGCTTATCCTCCATTTTTCAAAAAGCTACATTGAAGCATTATTCATTAACATAAAAGTATCCCAACATATTTATCATCTTCTACCTTTTCTTAATACTATTAATAACTGTAACAATAAGTCATCAAAAATTGACCAATATTTAATTTCCATAATTAATTTCTTACCATGGAAATAATTATTTCATTAGTAAAAACAGCTATTTTAAAAAAATGTTTTCGCTTTTTGATGTCTTTTTTTTTAAAAGCCAGAAGTTCATTTAAGGTATGCAAACACTCTGCTCAAATGCCATCTCCCAATACACATAGGATTCTAACCGAGCAATTTAAAGAAGTCTTTGGGGACATAACAGTTTACGCATTGAAAACTAACCCTGAAATCAGTGTTTATCAAAATGCATAGTTCTTCATATACATGATTAAACTCTAATTTAAAAATGATATCATAGTACAGTATTAATTTTACAATCTTGTAAAATCTTAAGGACACCCCAGATTCCAACAATATTTCATTCTTTTTCAGCAGTTAGAAGGCATGCATGCAACACCACAGCCACTTCTTATTTTCTCCCCAATTACAGTGGCAAAAAGCATCTGAATTTGCCTTTGGTTCATACAAATATCTATCATTTCTTTTAATTATTTGGACTTGGAGGATACCCAATTCCAAAACAATTCTGGGTGGCTTACATCTATCGTTTGGAGGTGCACATAAATATGATTATTATAAAATAATTCTTGCACTAGCTCAAAAATTGATTTCTTCCTTTCAGAAGAATGACTCTTTCTAATTAAAACACTGGATATAAGTCAACATTGCACACTTATTTCATCAGTCAGCCAATTTGGTTGTAGAAATTAACATGATCAATATAATGCAGAACAGCAGGGACATGGATTGTCTTGAAACAATCCAACTATGAAATTGATGGTTTGACAGGTGGGGGAATCAAGGGTAAAACCAAATTTGCTGTTATCATCCAAGCATGAAACAAAATGCAGTGCTTTGAATAGTATTATTTGGAACATCCCAAAAGCTATTTCATGACTTATGACGGAGTTGCCCCTTTTCAGTCAGTTTCCATTCTAGCCAGGACAATAGTTGCTCCTAGTTAACTGCTGTTAGTTTAGATTGGTTCAGATGATGCTGGGGAAAATTACTGGGAGGAAAAAAGATGGTTACAGCTATATGCCTCATAAAAACTAAACCAGACAAACTTTTGCTTTGGGGGAAATAGCATTCATTTGAGAAGTATTTTCTGGTGGTTTGGGATAGGGGTTGTTATTATTATTTTTTTTAGCTTTGGGTGTGAGTACATGCTGGCCATATTTGTTCTCTTGTAAACATTAAACAAATAAAAAGCTGCTGCTGTTGTTTGACAGCATGAATAACATCATTTATGCAATCAAAAAAGCAGTGGCAGACTTTTATTCGATTCTTTTGTTGCTACATCTATGTGCTAACAAAAGCATCAGCATAGAAAAAAAAGTTGCTTTATTGAATAAATGATCTGAAAAAGCCAAAAAGAAAACTTGATCAAGATGAAATGTTTTCCCATTGTTTCTTTTATTTTATTCTTTTATTTATTTGTTTAAAATCAAGCCCTTCATCAAATATGCAATTGATTAATAGTCAGCATGGACTACTACTACTCTTGTGAACCTAGAGTAAAAAGAATTAGGAGTAACTAGCTGCACATCCCCCTGTTTACCGAGGTCACAACTCCCAAAAGGTTTTTAATTCTGTTCTGAAGAAAATAGAAAACAGAGGCTAGTACAGATTCTTTTTCACTATAATACTGTTAACTCAAAATATTTTCTCAAATTATTAGGCCCCAAGCTGAAATCAAAAACATTTTTTTTATTTTGTGCACATCCTTAAAACATAACCCAATTCTAAAAACCTGTACGTAATGAAGAGTATTAGATAAGATCACATAGAAAAACAAACAGGGTGTATCTAGTTGCAGAGATCATATTTAAGCTTTTTTTTTTTTTTTTGCAAACTGACAAAAACTGATGATCTGGATGACTTTAAAAACACAATTTCCAGCCCACAAATATAATTATAGGTGGATCTGGCCTTCTGCTTTCATTTGTGTAAGGTGGTAGCTGGGTTTTATTTTTACTGGATTGATTTTTTTTAAAAAGATCTGACGTTTCAAACTATAAGGACTTGAAATTTCATTATCTAACTAGCTATTATTGAATTTCATTTTAAAAAGTACATGATTTAAAAAACTGAAAGTCAAACAATTATCACTTTCTATCCAGGATACTGAAGCACTTTATGATTTCAATTCTGAGTTTCCAAAATAAATTCTTTGATATTTAAAACAATTAATATTGAAACAAAATTTGATTTCTTAACCACTTTAAATTAAAAGGGTCAAAGCAGACAGTAGTATAATACATTATGATTTGTAGACTTTGGCAATGCAGAATGAAACTTTGTACAATTACTGAAACGTTTTTTATAAAGCAAACCAAGCTGTGAGAAAGACAACTGAGAAAATGAATTCAAAGTTCTAACAACTCAATTTCTTTTCCAAATATTTAATTTAAGCATACAACACCAGACTACAGCTAAATCCAAAAAGCCTTTGGGCTATTACTGCCACTATCTTGTACATTATTATAATTAATCTTGCAGATAAAACTGAGCAGCTGAGATATCTATTAACACATAACATTGCAGTAAGACATCATTACATAACTATGGGGGGGAGGGGGAATGTAAATTCAAATAATTTTAAAAAGATGATTAATTTTGCAGAAATTCTCTGGTTAGCCATATGGTTAACAAACCGTAAATGGTGAATACAGTTTAGTCAAAGGTAACATCTACTTTCTGGCTGCGTTTGGGAAATATATGCAAAAATGACTGCTACATTTACTGAGAAGATACCAAGCCAAAGGAATCTGAGATACTTGCTGTCTTTTTGAAGATTGAGGCCATATTGCCTTTACTTCATCACTTCTTTGCTGTATAGGATATGCCTAAACCTGTATTGTGGAGGCTTCTTCAAAGAATAAGAAGCAGAAATTTCCTTTTCTTTGTATCTTTGTAAAAACTGATATGAACAAGGCAGCTGCTACCCAAGAGTAATAGCCAATAGCCTACATGAATGAAAAGAAAATCACACCTAGCAAACTTGAAGAAATGTAATAAAATAAAACTTTACAAGTAAACCCTAACTTTCTCTTGATAGCAATAACTGTGTAGTCTGTCTTTATGGAAATACACTAATGAAACATGGATTCCCACTTTTTGTGATCAGAAAAATGGGTAAAGCTTGCCTTCTAGTGGATAGTACTGGGAAAAAGATTATGAAAGTACCATCCAGAGACGAAATTAGAGAAGACTGCAATATTTTTAATGAACACATAGCCAAGATAAGAGTAAAAAATTCTAAGCCTGCTTGCATGTGCTTGTGTGTGCACACACACAAAACCCTTACATTTCCACCAATGAACTGTATAAAACAAAATGCAATATCAATTGTTACCTTGCTACTTATTTCAAAACAGTGATCAAAGCACCTGTCTGCTAATTTAGAGCTTAGATACAGATAATCATAGTTGGAACCGACCTTGTAAGCCATCTAGTCCAACCCCCTGCCCAAGCAGGAGACCCTACACCATTTCTGACAAATGGCAGTCCAATCTCTTCTTTAAAGTCTCAACTGATGGCGTTCCCACAACTTCCGAGGGAAAGCTGTTCCATTGGTTGATTGTTCTCACTGTCAGAAAGTTTCTCCTTGTTTCCAGGTTAAATATCTCCGTGTTCAGTCTCCATCCATTATTCCTTGTCTGGCCTATAGCAGCTTTAGAAAATAGCTTGACCCCTTCCTCTCTGTGGCAGCCCCTCAAATATTGGAAGACTGCTATCATGTCTCCCCTGATCCTTCTCTTTACTAGACTAGCCAAGCCCAGTTCCTGCAATTGTTCATTGTATGTTTTAGTCTCCAGTCCCCTAATCATCCTGGTTGCTCTTCTCTGTACTATTTCTAGAGTCTCAACATCTTTTTTATAATGTGATAACCAAAACTGGATGCAGTACTCTAGGTGTGGTCTTACTAAGGCTTTATAGAGTGGTATTAGTACTTCCCTTGATCTTGACTGTATCCCTCTGTTAATACAACTTAGGATTGCATTAGCTTTTTTGGCGGCGGCTGCTCACTGCTGGCCCATATTTAGCTGGTTGTCCACTAAGACTCCAAGATCCTTCTCACAGTTACTGCTATTGAGTCTGGTTTCAACCAGTCTATATGTGTACTTTTGGTTTTTCTTGCCTAAGTGTGGGACTTTACTTTTCTCTACATTGAATTTCATTTTATTAGATATGGCCCAGTGTTCTAGTCTGTCAAGATCCATCTGGATCTTGAGCCTAACTTCTTGGGTGTTAGCTATTCCTGCCAGCTTAGTATCATCTGCAAATTTGGTAAGTTCTCCTTCTATTCCCTCATCTAAGCCGTTAATAAAGATATTGAAGAGTACTGGGCCTAAGATGGAACCTTGTGGCACCCCACTGCTTACTTCCCTCCATGTAGACTTAGACCCATTAAGGACTACTCGTTAGAGTACGGTTTGCCAGCCAGTTGCGAATGCATCTAGTGGTGGCGCTATCCATTCCACGTTTTTCTAGCTTACTAAGAAGTAGATTGTGGTCTACTTTATTGAATGCCTTGCTGACTTTATCGAATGCCTTGCTGGCATTGTTTTACCATGGTTTATTACAGATAGCCCTTGACTTATTAGCACAATTGGGACTGATACTTCAGTCACTAAGTGATGGGGCTGCCAAGTAAGTCGTGTCCGATTTCATGACTTTTGTGCATGGTCATGAAGTGAATCAAATGGTCATTAAGCAAATCTGGCTTCCCTATTGAGTTTACTTGTTGGAAGTCCACTAGGAAGGTTGCAAATGGGACACTGCAGCACACGTCAGTTACCAAGTGCCCAAATTTTGATCATGTGACCATGGGAAACTGCAACAGTTTTAATTGCAAGGTCCCTTCATACGTCACTTTTTTCAGCATCATCATAACTTTGAACAGTCCTAAAACAAATGGTCCAATACTGAGGACCACCTATACTGCCTTCTTTTGAGATTTCATACAAGACTCATCGGTGTACCCCCATCACCACCCTTAAACTTGATATACTGCAATTTACTAGTAACAAAATACATTAAATACATTATGTTGATAAGAAAATTTTATTGTAGTTTTTAAAAAGATGATCAGCCTACTTTACATTCAAATCTCTTTGTCTAATGTCTCTCTTTCTGGTCTCGGTCTCAGTCTTGGTCTCTCTCTCTCTCCATCCCTCCCTCCCATTATTATATGTGTGTCTCTGTCAGACCAAAGTTTAAATCCTAAGCTTTCTCCTGCCTTTTCAAAACAATGGATTCTTAATAATTTCTTCCATCTTTGTACACTAACATGTGTTCTATATTTACACAACTATTCCATGTAAAGTTGGTTCCTGCCTTCAATGCATAATGTTTTCCAGTGACAAATTTAGGCAAAAAATTATGTACAGCTATCTAATATGGCTATATTCAACACAGTAACTCCAAAACAAACAAACCATCTTATGGCTTAGTAACATAATTGAACCCAGCCAATTACTGCTTTTTAACCCAGCCAATTACTATTGTTTAACGTCCTGGTGTACATCTCTCAAATTCACAACTGAAATCATCTCAACCCAAATTATCCCATAACAAACAATATTTTAAAACATAATCATTTTAACAATTTGTTCAAAGAATGATTACTACACTCATTCTACTTGTTTTCACTATTTTTAAAACATTGTTGGAAAAGTTTTTTCTGTGTACAAAATATAGTTACCTAACCATGTTGTTTAAATGTTTTACCTGGTTATCTTGGTCTTCTGAAAAATCTATGAGCTCATCTTCATTTAGTTTATTGCTGTCAGCAGATTTTTCGCTATAGTTTAGCCTGATTTTCTGTAAACCATCTGTATTAACCATGAAGATTAACAAACAATATAAAGAAAAGAACATAAAGAAATGTTATATTAACTAGGCCAAAAAAGCTAAATCTCCAAAGGAATAGTACTTATTTTAGCATAAATCATTGTTCTTAAAAAGGATTTAGTTTTGTTCTGACAAATTTAAACTTCCTCATTAACCATTACCATCAGCAACCTTACCCATAACTATTGGGAACCTGGATTCTTGCAATTTATGGCAATTAACACCCATGTAAGCGGCTAGCAGGCTGCAGCTTCAATTATAAATTCCATCCTTAATGTTCCATATTTCAAGAAAACAAATTCTCAAAAAAGAGGTATTATCACTACTAACTACAGTACATTAAATGGTGAGAAGGGCACAGAATAATAGTTCAATATGTGAAAGATCACAGCAGCAGCCTGTCTTCTTGTGAAAAGAATTCTGATTATTTACTGTGAGAAAATTTTCCACATTTTCCATATGAACAAGTATACCTTTTAATTGACGTCTGGGATTTCAGGAATGGTTTGACTGTTTATAACTCTTATTACCTATAATGTGAAAACTGGAAAACCCTTGGCCTACACAAGCCCTACTTGTATCTACAAGCCTCCACGTCACACTAGACACACCCAAGCCCCAAAGAGGATATATCAAGATCATGATCATGTATTGATCAAGACTAATCAGCTTTTACTTTTCTTCCATATGTTGCCATATATTTTATTATACATTGCAATGAAACAGACTAACAAATTAAGGTTCCATACAAGTTTGGCAGTAAGCAAGTTGGTCAAGATTTTAGACCCTCTCTCTTCCTGATGCATTAAGAAAACTGATTATCTCTCAAAATAAATCCTAATAAAACCCTCTATGCATAGTCATCTGCAAGGCTATTTTGTGAACTTTTATTGATTTATACGATTCTGGACAGACTCTGGACAGAAGTCATACATGATGCAATGACTTCCTGGCTCTTAGAAAGCAGGTTTATTCCCTATGGCCAAGGTAACAGAACTGGAGAAGTTGGGAAAGATGGGAGAGATTGGTGACAAAAGTCACTGGGAAGGACAGTACTATCCCATCCCACAAAATATTTCAGTAATCATAAAGCACGTGGCTCTTGAGACAGAAAGATGACATTCCAAGGAAGCCTGAACCAACTGGAAATATCGATGCAAGTAGACAATTTACCTAAAATACAGCAGTAACTTTTACTGCAAAAAACTAAGGTTTAAAAAAGTCACATGTCATATGGGTGGTCATATATACTTTTTTAAAAAAATAGATCAAAGCAAATGTAAAAAAGGCCAATTCTTTTTGCAATCACTGGACATTATTCAAAACTCTTAAAGAGAAACTAAGGTAAAATACAGACCTCAAATTAAGAATGGACCCTAACACATCTTGGATATTAATATCCTTACTATCCTTACCTTCCATATTTGTTTAATCTTGCTTAAATAAGTTACTATCTGTTCAGATCAGAAAAATATCACCAAGTCTAGAATAATGCTACAATAGGATGAGCAATTCAGAGTTTAAAAGTTTAAAAGACTTTCTTTTAAAAAAAAAAAAAAACAGAAAATGTTGCTAAAATGAGGAAAGCCAAATAATATGCAAAGAACTGATAAAGGATGCAAAATACACAAAACAAAACCCTTGTACATGACAAATGAAATTAAGGCAACAATGAAAAGTTGAAATGCATTTGGAAACGGAAATTGAACATGGAGGCCACTGGATGTCAAAAAATGTTAAAGATATACTAAAGGAAGATAGGGAAATAGTAAGAAAATTGATTTTCTTGTTACTAAGGACACAGAACAGATTTTTCAGGAGAAAGATTAGATGAAAGAGGTATTAGAGTTCCTGGGAACAATTCAGTGGAAATATCCATCCAATGTGCCACAATAACAATGGTAAACTGAATACTTAAAATTATTAGAAGGAAAATGAAAATAAAACTGTTGATATAGTGATCTTATAGAAATCTATTGTGAGATTGCACTGGGAGCAGTCTTTGAAGCTTAAGAAAGATATTTCACAGCTAGAAAATATGCAACAAGGCAATCCAGAAATTTAGGCAGTTAGAACAGCTCTGCTGTGAAAAAAGATTGCAGCAATAGAGTCTTATTTAGCCTGGAACAAAAAAGGATTGAAGATAGTTGATAATCATATAAAAGTATACATAACACAGGTAACAGAGAAAGAGAGAAAATTTTGTCTCTATGCAATACTGGAACTTGAGATCATCCACTGAAGTTAAATGCAAGTAAATTTGGAACCAACAGAAGAACAGATGTTTATATACAGCCCATAGTGAAACTTACAGGATTTACTGCTAGCAGTTGAAATACTGTTATGCACTATGGATGCTTTTAAAAGCAAATCAATTCATTGAAAATCAGATGATAAGTGGCTGGTAATGCTGACAACTATTTGCTGCTTCTTAGATCATAATCAGCATTTCTTAAATACTAGCTGATGGGGAACAACAGTCCTTAAACTTAAGGTGCATCCAGCTGGCCACTTTGTGAAATTGAATATGGACTAAATATTTACTCTAATTCACAACTGATTTTCTAGGCATTGTCAGGTGGAAGTCCTCTCAATCCTGCTATCTCAGAAGCTTTGGATCTTCTGTACCTAGAATCCAACATAAGGTTGACCTGAACATTGCTTATAAAGGTAACCTAAAATAATTTTAAATATATAAATCTACCTGTAGGAAAACAAACTATTTTGATAATTTCTGACTTAAGCACACTTCAACATTATAGAGGTTGAAACAGTTGAGCATGTCCTTTTATATTGCCCTATGTATAACACAGACAGATCTAAGTTACTGTCTCTCCATGAAACAGACCCTTCTAGACCCAATGTTAGTAATTTGTTCGTATACAGTCGAGGGGATGGCTCCTCATATCTATCACTTCTCAGGTTTCCATTTTTTTTTAAGAGCTGTAACCATCAGAGGAGAACGTTGTAATTCCCCTTAGTCAAGTGGTGACCAATTGTTCATGATTAATTTTCCCATGTTCTTCTTTTGTTGTACTTGTGTTTTGGTCTGTGACCGCAAATAAAGTATTATTATTATAATGGTTTGTTCATGAAATGCCATTATGTGTACATACCCATGTGCCTAATCTATAATCTAAATATTATGCTCTAAATCAGTGGTCTCCAACCAGTGGGCTGCGGCCTACTGGTGTGCCATGAGAAAATTTTGGTGGGCCGCAGATAAATCTCACCCCCAAAGCACACACACCCAAAGCAATTAATCCAGGCTGTGCAGAAACACAAGGTTGCACCACCCACATGGCCTGCATGAACCCTCCCTGCCCACTCCTTACCCAAACTTGCCTGCTAAATTGCTATTTTTCCTTTTTCCGACCATCAGGTGTTCTGCTGTGCTGGGAGATTTAGATTAGCTAGGAAGGAGAAAATGGTTGGATTTGTTGCTTTCTAGCTAGCTTTAGATCTTGGGCTCTGCTTTTAAGCACATCTGAACCTCCCCTAGGACTGAAGGTTCTATTATTCAGTGCAGACTCAAGGCAAGTAAATTTGAGACTGAGCTAGCCAATGGCAGATAGATCACTGAATGATTCTGTGAGCAGCTCAATCTGCCTGCCTGCTTTGCCTGCTTTTGGGTAAAAGTTGCTCTTTTTTATACAAAATTCAATATTTACATACATGGTGTGTTGTGAGTTAATTTTGTGAGTTTGCTTGCTAGCAAATTCTATGAGTTTGCAAGCAAATTTTATGCGACAGACTAGCCGATGGCAGATAAGATAGATCACTGAATGAATCTGTGATTCTGTGAGTAACTCAATCTGCCTGCCTGCTTTGCCTGATTTTGGGTAAAAGTTGCTCTTTTTTAATAAAAAATTAAATATTTATATAAATATTTATAATATTCACATACAAGCCATGCCCAGCCAATCACATGACCACCAAGCCATACCCACAAATTAGGCCATGCCCACAGAACCAGTTAGTACTCCCTGGGATTTAAAATTACGAGTTTGGTGGTTCCTGAGGTCCAAAAGGTCGGCGACCCCTGCTCTAAATTACAGTTGATCAATCTGTTCCTAAAGTACAACATTTTTGTACTTTTTAAAATTCCTGCTACTAAAACAAAATTGAATAGGCAAGACTACATACCACTAGCTTGGATATGAATTTTGTGTTCATTTTGCATTCCATTTGCCTCTGAAGTTTTAAGATCATGTTTAGGACATATGGGTTCCATAGTCCTGAATTCTTCTACAGTGCTGTTCAAATGATTTAACTTTTTAAAGCCACTTTTCTCAAAAGAGTTTCTTTTGCAGTATAATGGTTCATTCTCCTCCGAATCTGTGTTTGTGTCCGTTAATTCTGCAAAATGTTTCTTGCAGAACAATTTCCTTGTTAGAGGAGACTGCTGTAATAAATCCATTTCAGCACATACAGGAGATGAAGCACTTCTATCTTGATTTAAAGAGGAAGATTTAATCTGTGTAGATACATTTTCTTGGTAATACGGATTAGCCTCATATATTGGTTTTTCTAAACCTGGAAAACAGATGACAGCCAAGAACCAGTGGGCACTGCAAGTGAAAAAGAACAACAAAGGAATTTAAAAGTTATCTTCATAATAGGTTCTAACAGTATCCAATACATTTTCACAATGCTACCCTATCTCTTCTTCCTGATATGATACATTTCAACACATCAAACAAAAAACCACATGTTCATCTGCTCTAGTCTTGCTCTAACTTTAGAACTAAAATGGGAGGCCAGCAAATAAGGCCTGCCTATTCAGATATATTTTGTTCTCTAATCATGAATCAGTCCCCGAGAATAGAATTAGAGCATGTATCTCCTTTAATGTCTTCCTATTAAGAGCTGGAAGAGAAAGGAATATGGTTTACTTCTTGCTACAAAGGTGTTTAGAACAGCTGTCAGGTATATTGAGGCATGTCACTGTACCTCATTCTACCGCCCCCCTCAAATTTGAAATGGAAAAGAGCAGGAAAATTTTATTTTTTTCCCCTGTACACAGTGGGATGCTGCTTCACAAGTTCCTCAAGGGCAATTAACACTACTGTTGCTTTTAGAGATTATCTGCGAGACATAACAATCAGTGTGTGTATTAAATAATTCCCTTTTTGTATGTGAAAGAAGAATGAATGCTTAGAGCAAAGGGCAGCAAACCAAAAGGCAAAATATCAAAAGAGCTAGAGCTTTTGAGGATCTTTCCATCATAGGTCCCAGTGGCATATACACCATATTACATCAGAATGTGTATGTTTGGTTCTGAACACAACTACTGTGTTTTGTAAACCATGTTTTATAATTTACCTTACACATCCATTATATAAATTAATCTCAAGTATGTTTTTAGTTATTTTCATATATTATGCTCCATATATAATTACTATTAAAAGAAATAATATGAAGTGTGTGGATTCTACCAATATAAATGAAATTCTGATGCTCTACATATTACTCTACTTACGCTTCATTAAGAGGAACAAAAATAAAATCTTTTTCAAAGATATCAACGTGTCGTGTCCATGTTTTTACTCGACCGTGCCGTTTCTGCTGAATTCTGTGAACAAATGAACAGGAAATGAAGTGTGTTTATAATTTTTCAGAAAATATTTCAGGAATTAAGTATGATTTTTCTATCTCTGATGATAATTTATTAATTACTATATTTTAATAGTATCCATACTTCAAAAAGAGTATAGATACTATATACTTCAAAAAGTATATTTAGATATGAAAGTTGGAAATAATTTGTCAAAGTATGCATGGTAGCTATAGCATATGATTGGTATCCTTCATTTTTTGATAGCTATGTTCATTTCTATATTACTCAATTTATATTAAATAAATCATCAGATGCTGTATAATGATCTGTTACAATCTAGTTTAGCATTTTATATATAAACCTCAAGAACCTGAAGTCCTTCAGTTTCTCCCAGCTCAACCAAGACTTGCAGCTGATTGATTGATTCAATATCCAATCTTCCATATAGGAACTCATTTAAGCACGTTTTCTAACCTACCGTAGAATCCCTAGTAGTTATTGGATCCCAACATCAAATCAAAAACATACTGAATTGCATGAATTGGTTTTACATAAATAATTACAGGTAGTCTTCAACTTACAACAGTTTGTTTAGTGATTGAAGTTACAACAGCACTGAAAAACGTGACTCGTGACTATTTTTCACACTTATAACCATTTTAGCAATCCCATGATCATATGATCAAAATTCAGATGCTTGGCAACTGGTTCATATTTATGATGGTTGCAGTATCCCAGGTGGTCATGTGATCACTTTTTGCGACCTTCTGACAAGCAAAAGCAATGGGGAAGCCAGATTCAGTTACTAAGCCTGTTACTAACAATTGCAGTGATTCACTTAACTGTGGCAAGAAAGGTTGTAAAATGGGGCACAAGTCATTTAACAAACATCTCATTTAACAACAGAAATTTTGGGCTCAATTGTGGTCGTAAGTCGCGGACTACCTGGTTTTCTGTTAGACAAAGTTTGTCTAACTGAAATTTTACAAATATCTTTCAGCTAAACTTACGTGAGCTTTGAAGTTTCTTGAAGATTCCTTCTCTCTCTTTGATTAAGGCGTTTGTAAAAAAAGGAACTGAACACATGAATCCTATCTGCATCTTCTTTTTTTAACCTTTCTAGCACCAGATACCTTTATTTTGAAACAGAGAATACACAACATATTTAGCACAAAGTTAAAAACTAAAACCACAAACTGCAATTTGCTTTAAATGTTTTTAAAAGTAATAGTTCTAATCTGTTATTTGAACAATCTGAACTATTTTGCCTCTGCGTTCCAACCAGACCATAGCCTCTGAAGTGGCAACATTACTGAATCCAAATACAGTGAAACTTTGAAAGAAGTTTCAGAACATATTTCCAATATTAGTTTAATAAATCTCAAACATGATTTGCTTCTTGAATTATTATTCAGCCACAATAATATCATGATACATTGGGTGGGGGGATATTTTAAATAATGTTTTTTCAAGGGAACAAACCCAAATCCTTGTCCTTACACTAACAATGCCGAAAAAGCTTAATATATCAACTGTGGTAAGAGACAAATTGAGAGCTAATATTTTGCTTTTTCAGAGTATGGGAAAGTAATCATTCGAAACACTGTGCATAAATTATAAAATCACTAATCAAAAGATATGCAAAAAAAGTTAAAACTTCATTTTAGGACTAATGAGAGGCTTCTGACATGGCCGGATCACCATATTTCATTTTTAAATACCCATTCTCACCTATTTGTTTATTCATTTAATATTGTGCCAGACAAAGAGTTATGGAGAACTCAAAACCTTAAACCCTCTTCTTTGTGATTTTGATTAGTTCTAACAAGGGTTTTACTTATCTGAGAATGTTGGATTTTAATATTTAAGGGGTTTCTCAATATATTTATCTACATGAAATGGACACTATATAACTTACTTTAAATAAAAATCAATTATTACGTCATTTAAAAATTCTCCTTCATTTAAACAATGAAGATCTTCATTGGTCACAGATATGCCCCCTTTTGCTGGAGGAGGCGGATAAACTATCAACCTGCAAAAAAACAAATATCAAGTAAGCTGAAGTCATATAATGTTAAGAAATTACAAAAAGTAGAACTAACTCTTACTTTTCTATAGGACCAATGAAGACAGTATGTGGCTCTACACTTTCATCATCCTCAAAGAACTGGAACTGTGTTGCATTTTGCATCTGCATTTTAGAATCGGAGATAACCTTAAGAAAATTAACAAACAATTGTCATAACTTATTTAAAACCTTGCTGACAAAGAAACAATATTACACATCTTTTATTTTTCTTAATGAATTATTGAAATACAATAAAATAAATTATAACAACAGTGGATCATTTGGATATCACTTCAGACTCTATTCCCAGCTTCATTTTCAGCTTTATGTACTATTGTTTATAAAGCATGTGCTCCTCACTCCCTTACTCACTTCACTCACTCTCCAAATCTACCTAACAATCCTAATCTGTTTAAAACAGTTCTCTATGTTATATTATATCAGAAAACTTTAAAAGGGGGGGCGGCAGTTGAAAAATGTGGCAGTCTAGTGATAGCCACTTAATATGGGACTTCGTGCGGAAGTTATAAAATGACACATGGTGAATCAAGTGTATAATTGCAGAATGTGATTATGCTATCACCATACACATAACTTTTAATATAATTATGATTTGTAATGGACGCTACTGTCCTTAACCCCATTTCTGATGTGGGAAAAGACTGAGTCTTCCTCCATAGAGACTTGGTGAAATGTGTGAATTTGCAATCATTATGTCTGAACCCTAAATCTTGGTTTTTGTGACATAGCAAACCTCCCATTAATTCACAATACCAGCCATCAACAGAACCATTCCTCAAGTTTAACTTCTTTTCCCTTCCAAACTCCCTCCTAGCAGTTCCTCCTCAAATATAAAGCAGACCTGAAAATCTACTTCCAAATGCTAAATGGACTTCAAAAATGTAGCATAAAACACAATAAAAAACTATCTTGAAAATGGAAACTGTGTGTGTGTATGTGGACACATGCACATATATGCACACACACCTTAAATACCCAGCTTCACTGCCCTCAAATTGTACAAATGCACTTAGGATACTAGGACAGGCAAATAAGCACAATATATACCCCTCCTCCCAAATAACCACCAAAACAAAATCAGAAAATAAAAATACAGGTAAAATATTAAAATGAAAACATGAACACCCCCATAATAACCTGCATGAACAAAAACAGGAACACAAATAGGAAAAAAAATGCATCACATCTGGTTAGGGTGCTAGCCTAGAAACCAAGACACTGAGTTCTATTCCTGCCTGAAACATGAAAACTGGCTGGGTGACTTTAAGCCAGTCACTCTTTTCCAGCCTAACCCACCTCATAGGGCTGATATTATGAGGAAAACAGGAGGAGGGAAAAATATTATGCATGTTTATCACTTTGAGTTACTTATACATATAATAAAGATGAGATTTAAAAAATCCAACCAATCCCACAAACAGTACAAAGCAACAGTAGCAACCCTATATAGATAAAAAATAATTCTTCAGCAAACTAAAACACACAAGCCCACACACCTAAACAGAAACCAGGCAGGAAGAACAACCTTGTATTACTAGCATTTTACAGCTACCAGTAAAAGAAATAAAAGAAACAGAGGAGAAACATGTCAGCTTTGAAGCCATTTTTCTTTGAGCTGCCACACTCAGTGCCTGGGAATTTGGGAGGGGATTTCAAGGAGCAGTGGAAGATTAGCCACAACAACATTCCATTCTCGGAAAGTCACGGACATGTTACCTTGCATCTGGAGGCGAGTGACTGGGGAAAGTCTCCAGTCGGAATGAAGTGAGGATTGGACCATGTGATGGACGTTTGGGTGCGGGGGTTGGATTTTGGATTTTCTTTGGGTTAGGGAAAACCTGGAACTTTCAGATTCGGGTTTTCCCCAGATGTGCCAATATGACATCTCTAATAAAATGGATGTTTGGGAAGATGATATTCTCAGAGTTTATTTCTTTGGAAGTTGTTACTTGGAACACTGACATAACAAAGCAGGAACAAAGTGTGGTGTGAATACTTCTCTCCTGTGATAGACTGGCTCTTTTAGACTTTTCTAGGTTTTAAATCTATATAATAAAAACCTGAGTCTTTACAATAAAATATTTTACATCTTTTCAGTCTACACATAATCTAAAACAGATTTGTGTTTTCATTAATGGAATATTTTAGACAGTATAATGTATAAAATAATGGAAAGAATAATAATTTTTTAAAAGTTACATGTTTTGTTTTGCTTTCTTTAGGACCAACGCTTCCTTTAGAAGTATCTTCAAAAGATTTTGTAAATGCCACAAGTCTATTGTTTGCTTCTTCAAAAGTAATTTTCACAAAAAATTCAGAAATATTGTTCCTGATACCAATTTCAGTTATTATTTTTTCAAATATTGTATTTGCATGAGGATCAAAACTTGTCTCGAAAATTAAAATGATATATTGTTCTTCTGGATCTATAAAAAAAGAAAAAATGTTATGTAAAAAGCCCATGAATTTATTATAAATGTAATATTATAATCAAAATTCTCTTTTAGGTTTACATGTTGTTCTATAGAAATAGATAATTACAAGAGGCCTTGAACAATATATTAAGGAATCTCCACATGAAGAGGCTACATGTTGGAACCATTGATATATTCATCAGTGTGTTTTGAACATAATATTTGATGATCATCTAATTTATTTAGCAAAAGGGCATTCTGGGGTGAATACAACATATCCACAAACGCATTTACATTGTATTCAAATATCTCTGAAATGAATTACTGCTGGATGAAAAATAATCTTAAAAGACAATCGTTCTTAATCTAATGTTGTTCCATTGAAAATGCATTTAACTTTTGCAAGTTTTAGAATGCTGAATTCACAAATACTCTTTTTAAGTAGAATAGTTTAGTTTGTTTTTACTAGGCTCTTGCCAAAATAGTTTACATCATCAGACTATTTTATTATTCAAAAGTAAGAATCTCTACTAAGAATGGAAAAATAGTATATATGCTTTACCATTAACCCAAAGAAATGAATTATTATTGGCATTAGCAAAAAGGAGAAATAGTGTAGAAGTCTAAAAATTTAGATTCCAAAGGTGCTGTTGCCATGATAGTAAAAAATAAAGTTATTCAGCATGATAATGCCTAATGTGGCATTATCTACAAAGCACATGTAAATATAAGGATTATTGCCAAGGATTTTATCGACTTGAGAACATTCCAAATGTCTCTGCAAAAATGCACAACCCACATTTATGAATCACAAAGAGACGACAAACCTTGTATTAAATATATATTTTCAGAAAACAGCATGAAAACTAATCTCGTTTACCATATTCTAGTCTGCTCATAATTCTAAAAAAAGGATATCATAAAAACATTTACTTACTTGCTCCTTTACAATCATACCAGACATTATCTTTTTCCCTATTCATCTTCAGATGTGATCTTAAACTTTGGCAGGCAGCAGGTACAGTTTGCAAGAAAACCACTGGCAATTTGCGTACACTACACCATTCACACTTAGTAAGTTCAGAAGTTTTTAAATTAATATCTCTAGTATCATTTTCTGACTCTAAAAAATAAAAAATATTCCATCAAAATTTCATTAATACTCGTTCAAAATAATATCAAACTATTATCAGAATAAATAACATCCAAGGAAAAGTCTATATTTGTACCCACTAAATGTGCTACTGATAAAGTATTTCCTAGTCAAACATATTTGAGTTTTTGCCTGACAACTTTTTAAATGAAATAGAAAAAAAAATAAGGTAAATACAGAAGGAATATTGTTATTTCAAAGGTTATAAAAAACAAAACAAAAGTCAACTTACAATGATACAATTTTTTGGTCCATCCAATATTACATTGTGAGGAAAAAAACCCATTTTCTGAAGTTAACTTCAAAGTTTTAACAACTTAAGAGACTGAACTTTGGAAGGTATCAAATTAAAACCTGTTCTATGAACAGAATGGGAAGTGAGCATTTTTTCAAATTTATTCCAAAGTGATATTCTGTAGGAACTCACAATGAAAGTCCAAATATAGAAGGAGCAATCTACTAATATAATAGTATGTTCAGTAGGAAACAAGAGCTTCAATAGAAAATTATCAACATAAAAGGAAAAGCAGCTTGAGTCTCTCATTTCACATCACATACTACTCTGGAATAGCTTTAGGGCCCAATTTTGGGGGAGGTTGGCTAGGAGAAAGAATTCACAACTGCAAATCTCCCTAGAGATTTTTCTCCCTAGAATATTTCTTCTTTACTCATACCTCTATGAACCAACTCCTCTGCCTAAAAAGAGGCTATATAGTATGGCCTCTAAAGCTATAGCTCTGAGATTCTACAGGTGAAACTCGAAAAATTAGAATATCGTGCAAAAGTTCATTTATTTCTGTAATGCAACTTAAAAGGTGAACCTAATATATAAGATAGACTCATTACATGCAAAGCAAGGTAGTTCAAGCCATGATTTGTCGTAATTGAGATGATTATGGCTTACAGCTCATGAAAACCCCAGATCCACAATCTCAGAAAATTAGAATATTACATGCAATCAATAAAACAAGGATTGTACATAAAACAATATCAGACCTCTGAAAAGTGTAAGCATGAATATGTACTCAGTACTTGGTTTGGGCCTCTTCTGCAGCAATTACTGCCTCAATATGGTGTGGCATGGAAACTATCAGCCTGTGGCACTGCTGAGGTGTTATGGAAGACCAGGATGCTTCAATAGCGGCCTTCAGCTCTTCTGCATTGTTCGGTCTCATATCTCTCATCTTTCTCTTGTCAATGCCGCATAGATTCTCCATGGGGAGAACTCCATGGGGTTCAGGTCAGGCGAGTTTGCTGGCCAATCAAGCACAGTAATTCCACGGTCATTGAACCAGGTTTTGGTGCTTTTGGCAGTGTGGGCAGGTGCCAAGTCCTGCTGGAAAATGAAGTCAGTATCCCCATAAAGCTCGTCTGCGGAAGGAAGCATGAAGAGCTCCAAAATCTCCTGGTAGACGGCTGCATTGACCCTGGACTTAATGAAGCACAGTAGACCAACACCAGCAGATGACATGGCTCCCCAAATCAACACAGACTGTGGAAACTTCACGTTGGACTTCAAACATCTTGCAGTGTGTGCCTCTCCATTCTTCCTCCAGACTCTGGGTCCTTGGTTTCCAAATGAGATGCAAAAGTTGCTCTCATCAGAAAAGAGGACTTTGGACCACTGAGCAACAGATCAGTTCTGTTTTTCTTTAGCTCAGGTAAGATGCTTCTGATGTTGTTTGTTGTTCAGGAGCGGCTTGACAAGAGAAATACAACATTTGAAGCCCATGTCCAGGATCCGTCTGTGTGTGATGGCTCTTGATGCACTGACTCCAGCCTCAGTCCACTCCTTGTGAAAGTCCCCAACACTTTTGAACGGCCTTTTCCTGACAATCCTCTCCAGGCTGCGGTCATCCCTGCTCCTTGTGCACCTTTTTCTTCCACACTTTTCCCTTCCACATAACTTTCTATTAATGTGCTTTGATACAGCACTTTGGGAACATCCAACTTCTTTGGCAATTACCTTTTGAGGCTTTCCCTCCTTATGGAGGGTGTCAATGATGGTTTTCTGCACAACTGTCAGGTCAGCAGTCTTTCCCATGATTGTGATTAGTACTGAACCTGACTGAGAGACCATTTTATGGCTCAGGAACCCTTTGCGGGTATTATGGCTTCATTAGCTGATTAGAGTGGGACACTTTGAGCCTAGAATATTGAACCTTTTCACAATATTCTAATTTTCTGAGATTGTGGATTTGGGGTTTTCATGAGCTGTAAGCCATAATCATCACAATTATGACAAATCACGGCTTGAACTATCTTGCTTTGCATGTAATGAGTCTATCTCATATATTAGGTTCACCTTTTAACTTGCATTACTGAAATAAATGAACTTTTGCATGATATTCTAACTTTTTGAGTTTCACCTGTATTTTCACCAAAAGAAGCAGCATGTATCTCATTTCTAATGAAAAGCATAGGATTAAGTTGCACTTATGCATTAGTAAAGGAGACTGCATTAGTTTCAATGTATATATTTTTATAGTATGAACACGATAATGATTTTTATGTGCTTCAAAAGGTATTTTGTGGAACCTAAATTATTGCTTTGCATATCCATAAAATGACAGGTGGCTTAAAATATAAGAAATATAAATTACTTTATTTATTGAACAAATTTATATGGCCACCCAACACCCTCATTATTATTTAATATATTTTTAAAAATTCAAAAGATAACACCCATACAGTTTATTTCTTCCACTACCTAAATATTGGTACTGTACTTTGAACATTAAATACTGGAAATTATTGCTAGTATCTATGAAAATCATTTCATTTATTGTCTTTGGTTGGTCTAATATCCTAAAAATGTATTTCAAATGTTTGAATTTGCTTTGGTGTTTACTGTGCTATATATAAAGAAGTCATTCCTGCTTGGTTATGTATACCGGCATATTAAGTATTTTATCCCACCAGAATAAACACATAAAAAGAAACACATCCAAGAATATGTAGAAAAGTCATAAGAGGAAAAGAAAAATACTAACCTTCCAAACGTATCTTAATATAGTCTAAACAAAACTGAAAAAGAAAATTTATATTACTACAGATTAACAACTCATAGTTTGAAATTATTCACAATGAATTAAACCTAGACCAAACAGAAATGTACTGTCCTATGTCTACTTCAGTGCAAAGACTGAGACTTGCTGAATTTTATTAATCATTTTTTTTCATAATTTGGAACATAAGCATTCTTCCATGAGTACATAATCACCTTTTTGGTAACAGTCCCAATTCAATATATTCAAACTTCTTCACAGATTGAAGGATTTGATATTTTTGGAACAGTTTAAAAATATATTAACACCTTTAACTCCTAACTCTCAAGAATATAGTTAGCTATACAGAAATCACAGGATGGCAGCAGAGTTTTACTTCTATTCTTTTTGTCGCCATCTAATCTCCCTGCAGGTCCAAAAACCTGGTACTTGCTACATCTAAAATTTTAGGATCTGCTCCAGATTCTGGACTAACAGAACCCAGAACTGGAAAACAATAATGGATCTTATTCAGTTTAAAAACTGACTAGCCCAGAATAGTGACAGAATGTATGAGAGACAACCTGTTTGCTCTATGTGCAAAACAAATAGAAACATTTTCTATTACGTACATAACTCTAAAGTATAATTCGATCACATCTGACTTAACATTCTCAAAGCTCCATGCTAATTTCAATTATTTTTTAACTACATCTTTAGATTTACTACCACTGTAAAACAGAATTGACAAATCTGTTACTCTACTTACAATTACAGGATCCACCACCATTTTTCGCAGAGTTCCTATTCTTATACTCCGACAGCGTAATATGACACTTTCGTAGGAGTTCTGATATTTTGAAGGAATATCAGTCACAGTTTCTTGGGGGGAAACTTTTCGACGCTTTACATTGGATACAATGTTGCCAAACTGTAAAATAATTAATATCGCCATCTTAATTTATGAAAAATAACAATTATAACATGCACTTAAAATATATGGGCTATATTTCAGAATTAATGAAAACTGACCAAAATATTCAAAGTGAAACTTTTTTTTAACAGAATATTTGTGCAAACAATGTAAATATTAAAAGTATGTCAGTGGCACACTTCGTATACAAATTTGGGATGGGATTCTGCATGCAACTCTTCTGAATTTGAATTAACTGCTTCCATATCATACACATAATTTATTTAAAGATATTTTCTACATCAGTAACTGCAAGACAAAGTGGGATGACTCTAAAGTCATAAGAAAGGGATAAAGATATAAAGTCATATAAACCTTTTCTTGTAATGTGTTTCTGATGTTTGTGCAACAAGTCTTTATTACAAAGAGCCCTAAGCAAATGAATGTATCATTCAGCAGATGTCAAAACATAACATCAACAGGCCTTCATCTAGGTAGAAGATAAAAGACTGCAAATCCCTTTCTTAGATCATCATGTGACATCTCCAGAAGGTGATGTCACCAATATAATTTCTCTTGATTACTAGAATGATATAATAGGCCTATAATTAGAGATAAAATCATTCAGTAACCATTCTAGGCTGTGTTTGCTAGGCAGCGTTTTGCAACCTTGGCCGCTTTAAGATTTGTGAACTTCGGACTTCCGGTTTGAAGCGACAGACAGAAATCCGCGATTGTGCGTGGTTTCTGTCTGGGCTCGCCGCTGGAGTGCCCCGAGCCGGCTGGTTTCGGGGCTAAGCCACCCCGTAGAGGTGGTGAAGAGTGGGGAGACTGCCAGCAGGGTCGAGGAGAGCCGCATCCCTCCTCATCTGGCCATTACTCCCTTTCCCGAAGGCAGCTGCAGCGGTGGTCAGAAATGGCCACCACAAAGAAGAACTCGACCAGAAAAGAATGTGCAGGAGGAAGATAAGAAGTGAAAGTTTTGGCTGACCGGGTTAAATTGTAAAAGCAACAACCAAGGTACCCTGGAATTTAAACTTACAAAAAATAACATCGCTCCCAAAGAAGAGTCGGAAGCAGCGAAGGAAAGTGAAAAGGGAAAGGTTTGGCTTTTTTTTTCTTCTCTTCTTCCCTATACTGACAACTAAGAGACTTAAATAAGAAATCGGAAAAATCCGCTTTGACATCAATAGGCAATTAAGCTGAAAATAAAACAAAATGCCAAAGGGATAATAAAGATTTCTGGACATTAAAAACTTTCTTTTTCATAAGCAGGAAGGGAGAGAAAAAGAATAAGGGCAGGATCTGGAAGAGGGAGGAGACTGCCTGGAATTAAAAAGAATCTACAGTAAAACTTCAACAAGACTTCTAAAAGATACATTTTAAGTGAAACTTTGCAACTAAATAGTAAACTCAAGAAGAGAAAGTGAAAAAAAAGAGCAAAAAAGAAACAGCTTGCGTGTATTTGGATTATTTGGTGATCTTTGGATTTTTGGTTATTATATTTGAATGACTAAAATCAATCGGGTGGTTGTTTAAAAATTTATACAATGGCACCACTTCTGGATGAATTGAAAATGGAACTTAAAAAGTACAAAGAAGATGCACAAGAAGGGAAGGGTTCTTTTGGCTTCGTTTTTCAATTCTTAGAAATGGAGATTTGGAATTATGAGAAACAACAAGAAATGCCTGCAAAACAAGAAGACTGGGACAAAGAAGAAGCCATCTTTAATGAACAAGTAATTCTATGTGGGGAAGAAAAAGGAAAGTGGGGAAAGAGAATGGAGAATTTAAGACTTAAAAAAACAACCAAAGAAAAGAAAAATAATTCGAAAAATAAGTATAATACTGGAAAGCTACAGAAAAGGGGAATACAGAAGAGAGAAACAGAGGTAGAAAGACAAGGGGGTAAAAAGGGGAGAGAGAAGAAGAGAGGGAAGAAGGAAAGGAAAAGAAGTTACAAAGGACCGGAGCAAGATATAGAGAAACAGGACCTATTTAGAGATAATGGGTGAAAATCTAACTGAAAAAGGGATTCTGTAAAGTTACATAAGATTGCATTGTTATATTAGTAATAGAAATAACCTCCAGAAAATTGGAAACAATGTATGATTAAAATGAGGGATAAAATAGTTAGTGTAATTTAGTGAAATGTTTGTGAATAAAATAAATGAAATAAAATAAATGAGAAAATTGAATTAGGAAGGAACGGGAACATTTTAATTAGTTAATGTTTTATAAAATATAAGTGAAGAGGGGAGGAATTTAACTATGGAAAGCTTATAATTGTTCCCATAGAAGTATGATATTTAATTGAAAAGTAATGTTAAAGATGTTAAGACTTTAATGAATATTAATATTAATGACAGAATTGAATTGGAATGTTGTTTTAATTATATACATTTATAAAAAAATTTCTTTTTTTAAGAATATAGTGTGTATTTTAAGAATGTACCAAGCAGAATCTGAATGGAAATTATGTATTATATTGAATGTTACAACTTTAGGGAAAAGATATAAAGGCGTCATACTCCAGTCAGTAACTACAGGAGAAATTTTGTTTAATGAGAAAAGATAATAGATAATTGAAACAGGATAGACAAAAAATATAAATATAACGATTTGAATTGAGATGAGATAATTAAAATAAAATTGAGAAAATTAAAAGATGGGAGAAGCTATGCAGAAAATGTAAAATAGTAATAAGATATGGAATAGAATATAAAAACGAGCATGAACCTGAATTTGTGTCTGTACGAAGAAATGTAACCTGGGATTATGCTGCTTTCAAAAAAGATTTTATTTGTATTTTTTTTCTCTTTGTGAAAACTCAAATAAAATTTACAAAAAAAAAAAAAAAAGATTTGTGAACTTCAACCCCCAGAATTCCCCAGCCAGCATGTGTCAGGATTTTAAAACTAGATTTGTCAACATGCTATCTTGGACATAAACTCTCCTTAATACTCTAGTACTTAGTACTAGAATATTACAACTTACTCACACTTATTAATTTAAACCTAAAAGGTTTTTAAAAATAAAACAATGACCCAAATCTTATGAGGCTTTAGAAAATCTTTTAAGATTCTAACGCATAAAAAGAACCCAAAATCTCACAAAATTCTTACATGAATGCTAAAATCTTATAAGTATTTGGGTGCACTGATGAGTCAATGTGCAGGAATGTACGGTGCCCTTAAGGCATTGTTTGTCTGGGGTACAGTTCCATTCTGGACTCTTTTGCCTTACTTCTTTTCTTAAGGGAAAGATGGTATCTCCCCACTGTATCATCCTAAACATTAATAGTCAGGAAGCATTGTTATGTATAAGCCATCATTCACAAATGATTCTCTGTGTTCAAAATGAAGAACTCGTACATTCCATCTAAACTGACACAGGTAAGAGTTTCATAAAAAGTGGCACATGCAGATCTTACGTATGAGATACATCAGAGTGAGAAGAATAAGGAATACTATCATAAAAAATATCCTACACATGTACATCTATCGGAACTAAAGATAAAAAATATACAAGCTGACAAAACATAAAACCAGTGCCAAAACAGTTCTAAAAGTGCAACATTAGAAGCAATACAGTATATTTTAGAAGGATTGAACCAAAGTTAAAAACAACGATTCTGAAACAGTCTCATTGATTTTAACAAGAGACTTGTTTTGAATCACATACCTCCCTCCCCTCCCATGTACACCTTTTAAAAAAGCCAAGTTCAAGGCTTAGAAAGTGGAAATAGAAGGCCATTGTAGCAATATTGATGTTTATTTAGAACCTACTCTTTTTAATTTGGATTCTTAATTCCACACAACAACACTGTATTTGAAACTTCCAGATTCTATTTTCATTTCATTTTGTATCAACTCTACAGTGTTGGCCACTAAATTATTCATATACAATAGATGAGAGATTATAGCATTTGTGTCTAACACTGTGTGGATTTTATAAATATATTATTTTGATTCATTTTACCTAGTGGATTGCTGTAAAGCATATTTGCATGTTTTTAAACAAGTTCATAACTTAGAATACCCTACAAAGAGCTGCTGCCATGACTATTAAGTCTTTAGATTAACATACCGTGAAAGTTGTCCCCCTTGACAGCACTCAAGGAGCCTGTTCATGGTGCATTTTTGTCTTTGTTTGTCCAATTCTTGCAGTGATGCTCAAACTAAAAAACAAAAATCCCCACCATGAAAACCTTACAGTGAAGTGCTCTTAATTGGGACAATTTTCAATGTATTTTAATTTAAGGATGCTTTTCCTTGTGGATTCAATTTATCTCCTGAAACTGATTTACACTTATCAGCAAAACTGTTACAACCACTCCCTTGGGCTGTTTTCCATGTTTTTAATTCTATGGGAATAGTAGCAACATGGAAGTGATGGCCCACATGGAGATAATATCCTCTTTGGCCAATTTAAGTGTTCCATCTTTGAAAACGATGTAGTTGTTGGTCTTTGATTTCATTCTTCTTACACAGTTCCTGCAATTTCAACAATCAAATTTAACATGGAAAGCAGTACAGAAAAGTGGTTCTCATTTTACTGAGGCAAGTTTTAACTAATGTCCCAGTCCAACTAACAGCTTTAATTACATCAACAGACTCATTCATATCCAATGAGATTTCGTGTTTACAGTATCAACAGATTCATTCATATTCAATGAGATTTCATTTCTTTGTGTTTACAGTGGTGCCTACACTTGATCTTCAATACTGAATTTAAGAGTTTTTTTTTTACATCTTTCAAATTTCAAAAATACTGTTTGGGAAACCTGATATTTTTCACAAAGCCTAGCAGTTACTGTGCAATTTTTCACTTTGTGTTTTATGGAGCCAATATGTATATCTGGTAAATATCTAATAGATACCAAAAAAGACAGCTGTCCAGTAATCCTACTGAAAGATAATTAGATATAGATTAGAAGAATAAATGTACATTTGACTCTTGAATTCCATTCCTAAAGAAGCAAGCACTTTCTTCCTATATTCAGAATCACTGATGGACAGGACTTTTTTTCCCATTAAATTAACATGATGTATATATGTATGCTGTCACTATCCAAAGTTTCCACTTACACAGAGAAATCGTTAATAAGCTTAGATATTCATTTCACCCTGCATATGGAAGAGCTACCTGGTCTTTCATTCTTGCTTTTCTTGGTAATGCTATTGTAGATTCCGTTTCTGCTGCAATGCCAATTAGCCTTTGTTCTAGTTCACAAGTATTTTCCTTCAGGGCTGCTTCCACTTTTCCTGTGGAAGGTGCAGGAGAAGAACAGGCTGAATCTGCTGGGCGTGGCGATATGCTCTCCATTCTGTTTGTGACACCAATCTGATCTTCTTCATCATCACTGGAGAGCACAACTGAAAACAAAAGCATTTACCTGATATTTATATTTTATGATAATTAAAATATGAACTTTTAAAATTATCATTACACCTAAAGTTTACTATCAAATTCTAAATAAGAAGTTTAAGATACGAAAGAAGTGTCTATTTAGAACAAGATAAAATTCTAGCTGTGTCCTCGTACCTGACCAGCATTGGCTGATCTCAAAAGCAAGAGCTGAAAGCTACAACAGGCAGGCCATGCTATTCATATGTAGGAATCTAAGATATAAATGCAATTTGTATTTTATATAACTTTAAAAGAATACATAAATATTCTGCTGTGCTCTAGGGTATGTTAAAGCAAACATCGTAACATTTATAGCCTGCTTTTTCTATTTCAGAACTTAGAACTAAATGTGCGTTACCTAGGTCGTCTCTATGAAAGCACTCAATACACATAGAACTCCCTAATTCTATATACCCTGTTTCTCCAACAATACGGCCTCCCCCAATAGGAAGTCCCAGCATGTTTTATAGGCATGAAATGAAATTAAGCCCCCCCCTCCAAATTAAGGCCTATATTAAAATGTGCAAAATGGGGGGAATGGTGGGGCGGCTTGCCGTTAGGAAGTACTTTTGTTGCACACCTGGATATGGTGCTGCCTGCGTTGACTCCAATACCAAGTGCCCCACCAACACCGAGGTCAACATCCAAGCCAACACCGCCTGCCTGCCCAAAGATGCAAAGGGGGGGAATTGTCACCCCAGAAAAGACGGCCATTTTTTCGGGGCTCAAAAAAAAATAAGACCCAGCCTTATTATATGAGAAACATGGTAGATAGAACTGTGCTGCATCAGAGACCTTCAGAACATATTCCAAGACTATTAAATAATTCTAGTGATATATTTCCTCTTCAAAATAGTGAATTTAATTTTTACGTAGCTTTAATTTTTTTTTTTTTTTAAAAGACATACTTGGATCATTTAGCTCAGATGCTGTTGTAGTCTTCTGCCGCAAATGTCCAGTCATTTTAGAACCCACTTTTCCATTTGGACGTAACATAACTGTGCCTATGCTGCGCTTCACCATGAGGTCTGTAGAAATTGTACCAGTAGATGATCCATAAAAGTTTTTTGCATTTAATCCTGTGCTTAAAGAATGTTGCTCTGTTGAACTGTCATGTATTGATTCTCGTGCCAAATTATCATGTAAAGGCATGGTTTGCATGGATTGTCTTTGCAAGCCTCTAAAAACTCCAGAAAGTTGGTGTTCAGTCTCACTTTCATTTGTTTTTCCAATGTGTGGGCGAATTATGGAGTAACTATCCAAGCCCTAGGGTTAAAAAAAGATATTTTTGTGCATATTTTAAAATCCTATTATGAATAAATGCAACAGTTGTTGAATACAACTTTTATATAGATTCATAGATCTAATTTTTTTTTAAAAATAGAATTAAGCTCCAGTCATAAGTTACTATCTAATTTAAATTATCAGCTAATTCAACTGTTCTTTTGCTTTTTGTCAGGTTTTTGTCCCTGTCATTCTTCTTCCAAGTCTCTCACCCTATATTTTAACACTTTACTTTTAGCATCATAGCTTTTAGGTCTTTTACTTCTTATTTGATTTCAAAAATCTTCTTGCTGCTTACCTGCTCATTTCTTAAGAATATCCACTGAACATCACTTCAAATATTTAATCACAGATTTGTTGAAAGACAATGTTTTAAAATATTTACCACCTGTTTATGCAGTAAGAGCAATAATTCAGCAAGTTCACTACTTTACAACTTTACAATTAATACTGAAATATCTAGTTTATTTTCTAATGGAGTCTGTGTAAAAGAAAATAATTTTAGATTTAAAAAAAGCAAACTGTTACAACAACAATATTAGCAAAGGGATATGCAACCAAATTGTGACAATTATAAAAGACTTTATAACCAAAGCTTTGAACTGTGGTTTTACCCTTTTAATAATGTCATTTCCTGACTTTAACAGGAAGTAAGGATAAATAAAAAATTTAACCCACCTCTATGTGGGTTGCATTAGTTTTGGTGGCAGGAGATGGAAGCAAATCAGCCTGATATATACTGCATTGCCGTTTCTGTTGTACCCTCCTTGTAATTCCTGACTCTGATTCTGAACCAGACTCATCTCTGCTCTCCATCACTCTTTCTAAAATAAAAATAAAAAAGAGGGAGATCGTTACTAATCACCACCAAATATCTTCACTTGAAGAACAGCAACTTTAGTTTACTCTTTTGCTTTTCATCAGGATGAAGAAAAAATAGTTATTAATTGCTTCTGTCCAGGCACCTGTGCCCTACGATAATTCAAGGGGGAAAAAAGCTATTCATTCAAAACAACTGCTTCTCACACTAAGCAGCGTGTAGCTGAAATTTCAAATGAAAACTGATATACCAACATAAAGACCTACTTTTTTCTAAATATAGACCATAACCTACAGACTGAATATGTTGACTTCAATATATTAAATAACCAGGGTAAGTAAGTCAAAATCTGAGACAGATGAATTCTTTAAAAAGAAAAAATAAGTGTAACAACACAATGGTAAAGAACTCAAGAGCATGGAGACAAACAAAGCAATATAAATATAATTCCTGCTACTGGATAGTTGGAAATGAATTTGTTTTCCCACTTCAAAATACAGTTATAAATTAAAATTTTCATATCACCAGTTAAAAATACAATTTACAGCCCTATTAATACTCTCCCTAAATAAAACGTGAAAGGTTTCTTCTTACCAAAGAGTAATAAAACAAAGGAAAAGGGAAAAAATCAATATAAAAGTAGTTTTTAAAGAACAAACAGAACAAGATTTTTCTTCTTTTGTAACTGTTTCTACTGAAAAGACCAAACATGTATTTATTTCTTCTTATATAAATTATACAATTAAATCATTTAAATATTTAATTAAAAAAAACATACTCATCTCCTGAAGTTGAGACCATTTATTGCAATTGTTATCCACCTTTGGAATATTATGGGGGTATTCTTTCCTAGGAAAAGTCAGTAAAAAGTTGTATTCAGAAAATTTGCAACTATATTTAAAACACATTAAGTCAACAAAATGTTAAAATGTGTTTATATTTTACATTGTAGAAACCTAGAGTATTAAAACCTACAAGTTTCCAAATAGTGGTCAAAAAGCTGTGGGAAACTTCTGAACCTTTTATTTTTGACTCCCACTAAATTGTCTGACCACGCTGAAATTTGTTGAATGTCTATCAATTTAAAGTAAGAATCACAGAAAAGCTTATCATAGTAAACACCAATACACATATACAAAATCCCTGACTCATTTACATCTATCCTATGCCCTTTAAGCTTCTAAAAGAATATAAAGGTATTTTTAGCCACTAAGATTGTCCACTTGATTATTAAATGCTATATCTAGGCATTTAAATGCCATTCATTGGTAGGTATACAGGTAGCCCTTGACCTACAACCAGTCCATTAGCAACTGTTCAAATTTATGACAATCCCAAAAACTATGACTTATGACCTCTGACATGTGTCCTTCCCCCCCTTCCAGTCACATGAACACATTTTGGACACTTGGCAAATGGTTTGCATCTACAACTGATTGACTTAACGATTGCCATGTTCTCTTAACCACTGCAAAAAAGGTTATAAAATCATGTGAAGCTACATGGTGAGCTGCTTTATGACCTTCTTGACTTATGACCAAAATTGTGGGCTTAATGATGGTCTTACATCAAGGACTACCTGTAAAACAAAAGGCTATGAAATAGAAAGTTCCTAATAATATTTATTATCTTTGACTTTCAATCCCAACATAAATGCTGTTCCTAATCAATGGGTTCTATCAGTCAGCTTTATAAAATAAGTATGTAGTTATTGCCACTGTTCTGATAAATTCTTTTGTGTGAGGAGAAAAGCATATTATTTCCATATTTCAGGGGGGACACAAACTCTCATTATGCAATTAATGTGAAAATATCCATAAAATAAGATGTTGACATTTTTAAGATATCAATAGAAACAAAAAGTTTGCAGCAGTGCAATAACTATCTCTTCAGAAAAAAATTCTGATTGAGTGAAATGCACTAAGATACTTGAAATAGTAAACAGAATCTTATGTTACAATAGATAATGGGCAGGGGGGGGGGAGATTACATTCCCAAATTACAAGGTTTCTTTCGCTATTTATATTTTAATTTCTGGCAGTCAGTTTGTCCATAATCACCTGAGCTATTATGAATTTTAACTTTTAAAACAAATCAGACATTTTATTGCCTAACTATCCCTTCTGTCAGCATGCCAAACTTAATAAAACCAGAAAGCTTCTATCTGACTTGTCCAGTACATGACTGAACTAGATTTTCTAACCTGTTCTAAAGTAGCAAGGAACCAAACGCTAAGAACAACTGCTGTTTAAATTTCTGGTTTGTCAAGAGAACAATTTGGAGGAAATGCTGAATAAACCACAATGTAAGTCTTTCTGGTTGGTTTAGCTATGTCTCCCAGAATAAAAATCTCAATAGAAATAATCTTATAGAACTGACGCACAGATTGATCATTATCTATAAAGCCTGAATTCTCAGCAATTTAGCATACTGTTGTACATGAATATTTATTTAATAAATTTATTAATTTATTAAGCTATTACTAGGTGCAAAGCACATATTTTAGGATAAAATGGAACAGAAAGTTGATACTGCATGTTATATTCTTTAGCTATCTAAGATTCACTGTTATACTTATATTCCTTATAAGTATAAAATTTTGGAGAAATAACCACGAATACTAAACACAGAACTAAATGCTCACTTGCCACTCTTATCTATAGGACAAATATAAATCTTAAAAATAACCAACTTATTATTTATTTAATTTTAGCATATAAAATAATAATTGCCCAACAATAAAAAAAAAAACTTTAGATGACAGGAACCACTACTCTATTGAATTTTGATAAACTTTATATTTTATCTCAATTGCAACAGATTTATTGCAGGCAATACTTCAGATGTATGGTGAATAAAACAATGTATATTTTCTGCCATCTTCCTTTAAAAAAACTATTTTCTCTATGCATCATGGATTTATGTCAGCTACTTGATAATGTTTATTAATCAGTTTGATAAATATATGAAAAATAAATGGGTAACTATTTTTTTAAAAACTGCTCATTTAAAGTAGTTCACCATAAACTTCTGCTTTATCATTAATCTATGACACTTTGCAAATACATTTCATATACTAGACAGTTATATCACTTTAAAGATGCAACAAATGAAATTCTATTTACCTATTCTTCACAAATAATGGGCAAGTCCACTGCATATCTGACAGTTACATTTTGTTTAACTTTAGGAAAATTTTAAAAAATTGAAGAGTATATTAAAAATGACACTTGCCAAGACTTAAGATACTTCACTGCAGACTAAAGAAGAATACGGTATCTCTGTGGCTAACATCTATCACTTTTCAAATATCCAAAAAAGAGAGACTTAAATTCCCTCCCCACAATTACTGTGACATATTCAATGGCTATAAGAAGTCATAATGCAATGCTTCTAGCCCTTACATGTCAATAGTATATTACTATTTCCTATGATTATGTTTGTCATCTCAGACAAACAAAGGATAGTGGGTTAAGCCATGGTTCTTGAATTTAACACAGAATGCTTAATCAATTGCACTTAAGTTAAAAAAGAGTGAAGCTTCCAATCTTACTGCACTGTACTGAAGGATGAAGCATATAGGGTTTGGGTTCTGTAAGGAAGTAAGGAGATAGCCTTCAAGAAGAAATTCAATAGCCATTAAACACAACACTCATATCACCCAGAATGAGAGAAGCGGGGTGAAAGAAACTCAAGATTACCCCACCCAGATTATCTTTGGTATAATATGAGGGAACAGAGAATCCCTATTTCTCAGAGTTCCAATAGTTCTTCTAGAATTTATTTCCCACTCAAAGAGCTGACAAAACAGTAAAGGGTTCTCCGGTCCAGTCATGTTCCCTGTACCAACTCTAGGGGGCAGTGCTCATCTCCATTTGTTAGCCAAGGGACCCAGCATTCTCAGAAAACATTTTCATGATCATGTGGCCAGCATGACTGTTCACCAAGATGCACAAAATCCCACCAAAGTGGTGCCTATTTATCTACTTGATTTGCATGCCTTCAAACTGCTAGATGGGCAGGAGCAAGTAATGGGAGCACACTTTATTACATGGTGCTTGGTTCTGGAACCCAGGCTGTCAGCTTTCCAGCCAAGTTCAGCACTGTTAACCGCTGAGCTATCACACCTCCCAAAGGGCTGACACTACATTCATTCATATATATGTGGGTAGGTAGGTAGGTAGGTAGGTCGGTCGGTCTAGGTGAAAAGGGAAAAGACTCGAACACACCTAGACCTACATACCTGTACCCGTGAAAATCTACGAATATATATATACGTGTGTGTGTGTGTGTGTGTGTGTGTGTGTTATTCAGCTTTGTTCGGGTATTTTCCCACGTCACTGTAGTTGTGTTTTTAAAGCTGTAGCAACGTTTCGGCAAACATTTTGGAAACTTTAAAAACACAACTACAATGACGTGGGAAAATACCCGAACAAAGCTGAATACCATACATGTAAGTACCCGTGAAAACTTAAGAATATATATATGTGTGTGTGTGTGTGTGTATGCATGCATGTATATTTATATCTGTAGCTCCCCTAAAGACACTAGAACATGAATACATATTGGCCAGATTTTACATAAAGAGCAGACACTGTAGTACAAATAGTGCACGAAAGTAAACTGTGGTCAATGTGTATTCATGTTCTAGTACATTTAGGAGAGCTATGCTTACTATGAATCCCCATGGTTATTTTGAATGCCCTATTAAAAAGAAGATTGACTAGGAAGAATAGCATAATCAATATAATTTAGCAAAGCGGGAAAAACTGATCTAAGATTTTTATCGCGCAATTGGCAGAGATATTCCGGTCTTCAGTATGACATGAACTGTGGAAGAGTCTACTTTATCGATATTTCAAAGTATCATTGTAGTTTCTATTTAAAATGTTATTCTTTTCTAGGTATGCTTCTCAGAGTAACATTATTTCATAATCTTTAATTTATCTGTTAGATTTATATCTAATCTTTACTATGGGTGGCAGTGATAGTATTTTTTTAGTATAAGCCAGTAAAAAAAAGGTAAAGAACTCCTGTGGATTTTATTCCTCTAGTCATTGCCAATTATAGAGGGCTGTGTTCATCTCTGTTTCAAGTCCATTGAGCCTGTGCTGTCCAAAGACATTTCCATAGCCATGCTGCCAGCATAACATCACACTCAAGTGGTACCTATTTATCTATTTGCATTTGCATGCTTTCAAACTGCTAGGTTGGCAGGAGCTTGGGCGAAGATAGGAACTCACTCATTGGATGGCACTGTCTCGAACCTGGGTTGCCAGCTTTCCAGCCAACAAGCCCAATGTCTTAAACACTGATCCACCATGCCACTCCATTATAAGCCAGTGATGGAAATAATTTCTGCCTGAGATCATACAGTACTTTTCCAAATGTGTACTGTACATTATTTTCCCCTACAAACAAATTAGGGCATGTCAAATTTTCCAACTCTCAATTTCCAAATATTAGGGGTGCTCAAAAGTTGCAATATGCCTTGGGAATTATAAAGATATTTTGGTTATTTTAATATAATTTAGATGTGCTTGGTAAGCAATTACATAAATATCATAACATTTTAACACTTATTCAGAAGCTTATTTTAATATCCACAGCATTTCCAATATCCACAACAAATGATAGGATACATTCTCAAACTTGGCATGGGAAAATGCATATTCATATAAAATCAAATACATTGTTTGTGAAATGTCTAACCTAAACCAATACATTTAAAACTTTATCCTAAAGTCTTTATCATAATTGATGTGAAGAAGCTCATAAAAGGGAAATCAAAATATTCCTTTCAAGTAAATTGAAATAAAATTAATAATATAGTTTGAAAAATGTCACATTTATATAACAGCAAACACATTCTGTAATGTGAGCCAGACTATGTTACAAAATTAGTAACTTAATTAATGTAAATTAATGTACGAAAATAGAGGTTTTCAGTATCTAGGAGCTTTAGCAGTGACACCATTTTTTAAGATAAAGAATTAAGTAAGATGAATACTTCAGAACTAACCTCTAAATTTTGTTATTACTGCTGACAAGATAGGACCACACTATTAGTCATTGTAATAAGCTACCAGAAGCTGGTAAAAATAATTAATAGTCTGATGATATTAAGGAAATAGTATTACCACAAAACAACTCTTTATTCAAAACTTAATTAGGTAATCAGGACACTTTACCAGAAAACTAACCAGCCCCTAAAATATTCTACCAGTGAGCTCTTTGTTGGCTACAATTACATGGCTGAAGAAACATGATGATAAGAGGCTAATTGAAGATGGTTTGCAACATGACACGTTGCAATTTATTTAATTAAAGAAAAGGATCTTTAAAAAAGAGCAAACAGATCAAGAAGTCTGGGGGGCATAAACAGAAGTTTGAGGCTGCACTGGTCCCCCCTGGATGCTCCAGTGCCTACCAAACCACAAACCTACCAAACTTTGGAAGTCATTTTGTCCTGCTGAAGTACACTTTTACCAACTATCTAAACCTTTAAATGATTATGATTCTAAATTATAAGCATCTCCATCACATTAAAGATTATTTCTTACTTCCAATGTCATATGTCCTTCAGATCATAACTAATTCACCAAATTTTGTGCCAAGTTGGAGTCACCATCTATATTTTCCATATCAAGGCAGAATCTAAAGGCAACATTTATTCTTAATTTCAAATTCCTGATATGCTTTGACTAAAAGCAGTAAAATGGGACATGTGAAATAGTGTGCACTGGCACACTTGCTTATTCAAAATAAGCCAGAAGCCTAAACAACTTAAAGTTATGAAAAGTAAGTGTAATCAGAGCTGATATTGGTTGATAATCCTGTCTCATTTACTATCCAAGGTAAGAAAAATCCATTCAATAGTGCTAGAAAATAATATTTCTACAGTACTCTCATTATCATGTCCATTTCACCTTGTGCTTACCTTTCTTTTAGATCCCGATTGCTTAAAATATGAAAGAGAGAAATATTGTAAGATACAAAGCCCTTTAATATGAGTTTTTTAAAATGTGCTTTTAGAAACCTATATTGTAACATTTAAATCAAATACAGAACCTTCATTAAGTAGCACTAAACTTACACGTTTAAATAAGGAATTTAAACCTAAACCACAACCAGATGCAGTTATCACCTGATTGTCTCATGATCACCTGATTGACTTATTTGAAGGAGTAAATTAAATGACCTGCTGCAATGAGCAAATTTGGAGTTACCAGCTCCTCCTGCATAAGGCTAGATTAAAACAGGGAGTGTAACACATTCTTTAAAAGCACTCCACTGATCTTAAAGCAGAAGGGCCTAATGCAAACTTCCAGGAAAAGGCTGGTAGGTAGGGATAATAAGCCATCCTTCAAAGCTAAATGTTTTGCAGTGAGCAAAAACCTTTAGACATGAGATTTTTAACACTGGTGGCTGATTAATAAAAAAGGAAAAAGAAAACGCTCTTATTCCAACACTATTTTGTCCTATTTTTCTGTCCTTGTAACTATCTCCCCTAAAATTCTGCTTTATTACAAGAAAAAAATATATAATTTGTTCTCTGCCACCAAGTGCAATCTCATCCACTGGAATGGGTCTGCAATATATAGACAAAATATCTGAAAGTTGTTCATTCATACATATATATTTATTTTTTTAAATGAAGTATTTTAAAGAAACTACCAACATAAGCCAAACAAGCTAAGATATCTTTAATAGTGATAGTGGAAAACATACTTTTTTCTTTATATGTGTAAGAAAAATTCTGTTGGATCACATTAAAGGATTCTCTGAAGCTTACAGTAGGGCATGAGTATGGTTCTTGATGCATTCTTTTCTAATACTGCCAAATTACAAACAAGGCTGAAAATAAAATCGCCAAACAAATTTTAGAAAAGTAACTCCTATATTAAACACATGTCTAGTCGTGAAATAGCAATCTGCCACAAATCAAAATGCCATCACTGTGTCCCTATTATAACATTAAAAACTGGAAATAACTTTCATAAAGATTCACAAACATTCAAAAACATACAAATGGAAAACAATTTCAAAACCACATTCTTGAACAGGCTGTAGGCCGTAGAGCATGTTACAACTTCAAGTTCACATATAAAGCCGTAAAAAAATACAAATCTTTAAAGTCAGACTTCAACCAACAAACATAAACACTATTTTTGAGAAGATCAAAATTAGAATGAATATATTATAGAGCTCGACAGGTAAAAGCAAAAAGATTAGAAACCAATATCAGACACAGTATAAGATACAATTTTCAAAACTATCTTTTGTTGCAAGGAAAAGTTAAAGTACTAAAGTTGTCCAGGATTATTCAACAACTTTAAATTCCACAGGTTAGGAATTCTGAATACTTCAACAATTAAAGCTTCTATAGTACTGTATTGAGTGATACGTGAACAATGAAAGTATAATAGCAGGAGAAGCTAATGGAAAAAGGAAAGTCCCCCCCCCCCAAAAGAGATACTAAAAGCACAACTGAAAATAATTAAAATGTCAAATTAATGGAGCCAACATGGATACCCGAAGAACTTAATGAAGAGCTGAATCAAACAAACAAAATGGCTATTTATAGATGAAAGAAATGTTACTAAAATCAACACAAACAGCTAGCACAGAACTTTAAAGAGGAAAGCTACAGCTCAGAATCAGTGGAAGCTGGCAAACAAAGCTTAAAATCATAAAGAAGAAAGCCTTCTTCAGATATACTCAACATTTAAAAAGGATACAAGAATATATCAGCTGCTCAGTTAAGAAGGAAAAATGTAAAGAGACCAAAAGGAAGGCAGATTAACTAGTATTTTGGCTTCTGACTAGAGAGTATATATCCTATCCTATTGAGAAATCCTGAAGAACAGGATGAAAGATGGAACTCTGAGATAGAAATATATTCAGAGATACCTGTCAATCTTGAATAAATTTAAATCTTCCAGTTCAAAGGAAATAAATTTTAGGATAATGACTGAACTTTCTGATAACTTCAGGTAAATCCTGATATAGTACACTATCTTTAATAAATCCAGAATAACTGGAGGTGCATTTATCCCTTTTTTTAAAAAGGAGAACAATTGATCCAAGAAACTACAGATCTGTTTGTCCGACATCAATAACAAAGAAAACTCCAAAGAGATTATTTTATAGATAGAATTCAGTAATTCATACGTATCATGAATAAACCTTGCTGGACTAATCTTTTCTCATTTTCGATCAAGTAAGTTCCATAGCAGATTGTAGTAGTGCTGCAGACGTAATGTATCTTATTTTCAACAAAGCATCAGACAAAGAACTTCATGGCATTCTCATTAACAAGCTGGTTAAAGGGAAGGCCAGTCAGAGGAATTCTAAGTGGATACATGGCTTACTGAACATTGCTCATCAATAGTTCTTCCACAAACTGGAGTGTAACAGGTGGGGTATCACTATACTAAACTAGCACATTTAGTCTAGAGAGAAATAACTGAAGGGAAACCTGATATCAGTGTTCAAATATCTGAAAGGCTGACTCAATTCTTTAAGTTCTGCATTGCCCAAGAGGACAGGACTATTATCAACAGATTATTATTACTATTTAGGAAATAGGATCAAATCAGACATTAGAAGAAATTACCCCAAAAGATGTCCCAAAGGTGCTTTTTCAGGAGGCAACTGGACTTGTTTTTCTTCTGAAGACATTTTACTTCTCATCCAAGAAGCTTCTTCATCTGTGATAGAATAATGGGGAATGGAAGGATTTATATCCCAAGCACCTTTGGGTATCCCAAAACCTTTGGGACAGCCATGACCTGGATGACTGAGAATCTCTACAGATGTTTAGCTATACAATTTGGGATGAACATCCTTTGAATGATGTGGGAGTAGGAATGGATTTCCAGAGGAAAAACTACAGACTACAGGAACCAGGAGCACCACTCAGATGACCCTGAGGACACAGATAAAGCTCCAAGTGCTTCAACGACCCTCTGAATAAAAGGATGCCAATTACCAGCTGTCTACAAGGAATATAAATCCTTCCATTCCCACTATCTAGCTTTTTGGATGAGCTTTTTGGATGAGAAGCGAAACTTCTTCAAAAGAAAAAAACAAGGAAGTCCAGTTGCCTCCTGAAAAAACACCTTTGGGACAACCATGACCTGGATGACTGAGAATCTCTACACACTTTTACCCAAAGAAATCAGCTTTCAGCAAGAGGAATAGATTTCCATATGAAGTGGTTAATTCGCTTTAGTTAATGTTTTCAAACAAAGGCTGGATTATCATGTATCATAGATACTGTAATCCATCCTGCATTGAGTGCGGGGGAGGGTTGGCCTAGATGACCTCAAATACCCCTTCTAAGTCTCTGATTCTATGAATAGCAAATTATATTCAAATACTGAGTATAAATTACACAAAAGACAAACCTAGTAAAGTCAGACTGGCAGTCTATGACTTTTAGAACTTACTTTTGTGCTGCTGTTTTTACTCGTGTTTGTGTGTGAGGACAAAAATGTCTGACTTGTCCTTCTGAATCTGAACAGGATATATTTTCAGCATTTACACTGCAAACATAATAATAAAACAGAAAAAGTATTATTATTATTATTATTCACAACAGGACCGAAATAGTTTTAAATAGTTTTCAGTCATTTTATTCTCTAAATGAATGAATGAATCAAAGCTTCCACAACACTGTTTAATCATAGCAATTGCTTAAGTGCTTAATTAGTTGCAACTGGCAGCCAGTAAAAGAAATATGAAAGATCTTGATGTTCTACTGCTAGTATAGTAGGGCTTCTTTAAAAAGTTGCAGTGTCAGTGTTTTATTCTGTCTCAATACACACTCACACACAAAATAAAAAGCTGTTTCATAAGTTCATTCTTAATAACGGAATAACAATTGGAAATTCAGTATTACTGGACATTTGAGCACTAAACCCAGAGATTTAAATTCTTACTTACACTATTAAAACTATTAATAAAGTTAAATGCAACTTAATGTTTTCCAAGATTAATTTTTAATCAAATAAATGCTAAGCATTATCTGTACAGGAATCTTTATAAATATTTCTGAACCATTTTTTAATTTTGCTTCTTTTTCTTTAAAACAGTAAGTAAAAAAAATTAAGAAAAAATAAAATCTAGTATTAGAACAAATTTGTCCATTTCAAAAATCTAGTTAATAATTTTGGTGATGATGATCACAGCAAATATGTTAGGAAATATTCTGGGGAAATGGGCAAAGGAAATTAAAAATGGTAAAAACAAAAGAGTTGTGTAGCTGTGGTACTAATTATACCATTTTTACTGGGTATGATTTTTATTGATACTGTTTTTCCATCTTGATCATAACTTGAAAGACAACATTTGCAGATCCTCCCCCCAAAACATCCCAAAATCAAACTATTTGAATTCATCTTGTTCACTTGAAGAATATATAAAACTAACACTGCTTAATTTCACAGTACAAGGAAAATACTAAAGCTATAATTTGGTTTTAATTTTCAACTAGTAAAGATTTCCAGGGCAGAATTTCTTTTCTTTTGAGGTATAGAAGGTAAATACATAAAAATCTGTTAGGATTTTAAACACGATTGGTGAATGTAAGCTATAACGATGACCACAGGAGGAGACTCTACTGATGAAATCAATATAATGAAGTAGGGATGTGCCGAATTTATCAAACCAGAGAATTCTGTATTGATCCAGAACAATTTAATTATTTGCAGAAACCACAGAACTGCTACCAAATTGGCATAATTTGAGAAGACATTTATGGCATGGTTTGGAAGGAAATGCATCATTCCATTTCATTCCAACATTCTCTCTATATAGTGTTCCTATGTAAGATAAATTTTGCAAATCCTTCTTCTGAGGCAATTGAAGGAAAAGAGGAACTGGTAAGATATAAATGCTATGGGCACAAATATGCTGACAGTACGTGAATGGAGAACCATTTAATGGCAATATTAAAATAGGAGATAGCCCCCAAAAACATAGAGATAAGACAGGGTAATTCTGAAATAGGCTATTGTCAATATATTAAATATACAACCTCTGGTGATTACAGAAAAAGAAGTGCAAGATCTATTACACAGACAGAAGCCAGGAAAAGCACCAGGGCCAGACAAGATAACTCCTTCTTGCTTAAAAGTCTGTGCTGACCAATTGACCCCCATTTTCACCTGAATCATCAACAGATCATTAGAGATGTTATATGTTCCTTCCTGCTTCAAACGTTCTACCATCATCCCAGTGCCAAAGAAGCCCTCCATCAAGGAACTGAATGACTACAAACCAATTGCTCTAACATCTGTAGTTATGAAAATCTTTGAAAGGCTTGTGCTGTCCCACCTGAAAACCATCACGGATCCGCTGTCAGATCCCATGCAGTTTGCATACCGAGCAAACAGTTCAACAGATGATTCTGTTAACATGACTCTGCATTACATCCTACAAAACCTTGAATCTCCAAATACCTACGCAAGGGTCCTCTTTGTAGACTTCAGTTCAGCATTCAATAGCATCATTCCAGACACTCTTCTAAGTAAATTAAACCAACTAGCAGTAACTGAACACACTTGTAAGTGGATCATAAGCTTCCTAACAGAAAGGAAGCAGCAAGTGAAGCTAGGCGGAATCACATCCAATACCTGTACAATCAGAACAGGGCCCCCCGAAGGCTGTGTGCTATCTCCACTTCTCTTCTCCCTATATACCAATGACTGCATCTCAAACGATCCATCTGTTAAAATACTGAAGTTTGCTGATGACACAACAGTGATTGGTCTCATTCGAGACAATGATGAATCTGCATACAGACAGGAGGTCATACAACTTGCCTCGTGGTGTAACCGGAACAATTTGGAACTGAACACTCCCAAAACTGTAGAAATGATGGTAGAAATGGTGGGAAGAAACCATCCTATATTACCACCTCGTACAATACTAGATGACACAGTATCAACAGTAGAGATCTTCAAATTTCTAGGTTCTACTACATCACATGACCTAAAATGGACACCTAACATCAAAAACATCATCAAAAAAGCACAACAAAGAATGTTCTTTCTGCACCAACTCAGAAAGCTCAAACTGTCCAAGGAGCTGCTGATCCAGTTCTACAGAGGAATTACTGAGTCTATCATCTGCACCTCTATAACTGTCTGGTTTGGTTCTGCAACCCAACAGGACAGACACAGACTTCAGAGGATAATTAGGACTGCAAAAAAACAATTACTACCCACCTGCCTTCAATTGAGGACCTGTATACTGCACAAGTCAAAAAGAGGGCTATGAAAATATTTACAGACCCCTCACATCCTGGACATAAACTGTTTCAACTCCTACCCTCAAAACGACACTATAGAGCACTGCACACCAGAACAACTAGACACAAGAACAGTTTCTTCCCGAAAGCCATCACTCCCTCAACATTGTTCAACTATTTACAAAGTGTATACTACTATTATTGTTAATCTTCTCACCACTCCTTATCACCCATCCCCTCCCATTTGACTGTTTCCTAGTATGATTTGATTGTTGATTGTACCCTATGACTATCATTAAGTGTTGTACATTATGATTCTTGATTCTTAACGAATGTACCTTTTCTTTATGTATACTGAGAGTATTTACACCAAGACAAATTCCTTGTGTGTCCAATCACACTTGGCCAATAAAGTATTCTATCTATCTATAATTTTGGGGGAATCCTAAAATATATTTTATCAAAAAAATTTCAATGCAACTGATTTTTGTTCAAATTTAAATAGCATTAAGCAAGGAACAATTGCTTTTAAATATTTACATCTATATAGTATTTACAAAGCCTGATTATTTGGCTCAAATATTTAAAGCCAATACACAATGGTACACTGCAACAATTAATATAAAGTTTTAAAGTTTATTAAATTCAAGAAAAAATAAATTATACATTGACTCATTTGTTAGATAGCATTTCGAAAATTTGTCCTCTTTCTCCTTCAACCAGAGCACAAGCAAGATTGTGGCTGCTCTGGTTGGAAGGGAAAGAGAACAAAATACTGTTTTTATTTTCATAGGAATTGGCATAGACCATGCTACAAAGTTTAAAAAACAATGCTCTTGGAATTAAAAAAAAGATGCAACAATGGCCTAAGTCAACATTTTCTGGAAAGCAGACATCAAACCTGTAATATATATTCCTTTGTTAGAAAAATGTGGCCATAACTCTTATTTAAAAGCACACCAAAAGCAATTAGTGTAGCATAATATTATTGAAACAGATAGTCTTCAGGAGAGAAAGTCTAACTTCATCCCTTGCATACTGTGATTTTTCATCATAGAACTTCACATAGCAACTAAAGATACTGGCAACAGAAGATAGATATTGAAATATATAACTGTATCTAAAAATGTCACATAACTTTACAGAAACAGAATGAACAGATAGGAGTGCACTATTTGTGCTATTAAAAAATCAAGAGAGAAAAAATTCTACTTTCCAACTAAAGCTTACAGTGTACCCAATGATGTCTGCACTGTTATCAAAAGAACTGCCTGTGAATATATCTTCTGTTGCCAGTATCTTTGGATAATTTGGATAATATTTGGATATTATAATAGATGTGTTTTTATACTTTACATCAGCAAAGTAGAAACAGCTGAACAGTGTTGGCAGCACTCTCATAACTAACATTTCCTCCAGACATACACCACAAATTAAACAATTTTGAGATCATCTGAAAAGCACTACACCATATTTTCTTGCTGCTCCCCGATACGTTAAGTCCAGTTGCGATGCTTTTTAAATTTCCAAGAGTGTCACTTTTGTTTCGTCTGCTGTATGTCCTTAAGGCATCATTTCTGGCTACAAAACCTAAGCGATGGCGACATGGCTGAAATAAAACAACATAAACCATCATTTCAAATAGGAAATTATACTTCGGTCAAGCTTTCATATACTAAAACATTTTCAGGCCTTTTCACACTGTCTCAAATGTCCCCAAACTGGAAGTTCTTGGTCAAGTAGTAGGATTAAAACTTTCCAAATGGAATATTTTTACATCTTGTATTTTAAAGAAATTGTATGCTGCCCAGGAAATTGGGGGTAAAGAGTTGACTACTGCACATAAGTAGCCCTCGAGTTACAATCACAATTGAGTCCAAAATTCCTGTTGCAAGCGAGACGGTTTTTAAATGAGTTTTGTCCCAGTTACAACCTTTCTTGTCACAATTGTTAAGTGAATCACTTCAGTTGTTAAATTAGAAACACGGTGAAATAAATCTAGCTTTCCCATTAACCGCTGGTCAGAAGGTTGCAAATGGGGACCACATGATTCCAGGACACTACAACCATCATAAATATAAATACCAGTTGCCAAGTCCCTAAATATTGATCACGTGAAAATGTGGTTGCTACAATGATCGATATGAGCCACAGTGGTGCAGCGGTTAAAGTGCAGTACTGCAGGCTACTTCTGCAGACTCCAGGCTGCAATGTGGCAGATCTCACCAGGCTCAAGATTGACTCAGCTTTCCATCCTTCCGAGGTGGGTAAAATGAGGACTCAGATTGTTGGGGGCAATAGGCTCACTCTGTAAAACTGCTTAGAGAGAGCTGGAAAGTATTATAAACCGGTATATCAATCTAAGTGCTATTGCTATCATAAGCGTGAAAAATGTCATGTCACTTTTTTCAGTGTCACTGTAACTTTGAACAGTAACTAAACAAATGGTTGTAAGTCGAGGACTATCTGTATTTGAGAAATTAATAAAAAAATAAATCCACAAATTTAGTTAATTTTTAGGTTGGCGTGAAAAGTAAAAATAATAACAAGCTACCATCTACAAATACATTGGATATATTCACATATTATCATTAATTTTCACTGAAATCAAAATAAGCTATGTTATGAGCTAGTACTATATGCAAACAAATTGTCAAGTAATCTGGCATATTTGATAAGACAATGAATTACTGATTTCTTGACATTATCTATTCCACAACACAAGCATATATACCATTGTAAACAAACATAGTAACTGTTTCTTAATTTCCAAAGAAAATAGAGAGTTTTTGGTCATTAATTAAGGTGGCAAGTCAAAGATTACATCACAATTAGCTTGGAGTAAATAGATGTAGGCTTTCATGTGATAGGGCATTTGTACAGTGAATAAATGTACATTATATTTTATATACTCACTTTTCTTTCACCATTGGGACTGCAAGTTTCATCGCTTTCATCAAATATCAACAAATTGGCTTCACTACATAAGAGGAAAAATAATTTAAATTTTGATCAACTGATTTATAGATTAAGAGAACAAAATCAGGTTTCAACAATCATTACAAAATGTTCACATTTCAAAAATAGTTTCATTTGATTTTTTTCTCAAGGCTAACAGCACTATTTAAGATGAAGTTTGTATAGAATTTTATTTAAAAAATAGGACTCTTAACATTCAACATTTTAGCATTGGAGACTTCAAAACTGTAATGTATATAATATCCTCCCAAATCTTTATTTCTCTTTCTTACCTATTTGACAAGTCTAACATTGTTGCTGTATTATAGTCTTTCAATAAAACTCAGTGTTGGGAGGGGGATCTTCTGCAATTGTCGTTGTCCAAGGGCAGAGTGTGTGTGACTGGCACCTACCTGATTTCCAATGTAAGTCAATATCAATGCTAGAATGAGTTCTCCCACAGTTTCCAGCCCAGTGCCTTTAACTCTACACCATACCGCTTTAAAATTACTTCACAGCAATAAATTAATCAATGCAACCCAAAAACTGAAAGCTGCTTTAGAGCAAAACATAACGAAGCAACAGCAGGGAGGGAAGGGAAAAAAGCAGGCCCTCCTAGTGACCTGAGAAAAAGAAATGTGCAACCATATGAGCTACCTGGGTAAGGAGAATGCTGAAATCACTGTTCTCATTAGGCCAGCATGATGCAAAGCCATAGCCCTAAGATAGCAAGTTCAGCTAAAATCTTGAGGAAGCATCCAGGGAGCAAAACAGTTCATTCAAATACATACATACATACATACATACATACATACATACATACATACATACAATTTATAATTGTTTCTGTGAAGAAACGTACCTGTTATATCAAAATCGTAACTGAATTCTACCTTCATATGGTTTGCAAGCATGGCCAGAGAAAAGAAGTAGTTAAAAGTGATCAGAATGAATCAATAAGGTTTTGAGCAATCTGGTACTGTATAATGCTAAGAAAGGGATTTGGCCTGTACAGTATTTTAAATAGATTGTCACATTTCCAACTAGCTCAACTCTTTTATGTCACTCTCAAATACAGCATGTCAGAATAACTGTGTTTCTATATGTGTGTTTTAGCTACAATATCTCATAGCTTTCACTGATAAGGTACCAGATAAACTAACATTCAGAGTGTTTAAGATCTATTCTTATATTACACTTACTTCTATTCTACTAATAAGCAGCTTTACCCTGGAAAAAGTATGAACCCCTGGAGTTCCTACATCACGTATTAATATGCATTAGTAACAAGCTACCTTTGAAGAGCATTTAGAGGCTATAACAGATCCAGAATATGGCAATGCAGGTAGTGACGGACATGGTCTGTTATGCTATGTGATTCCATTGCTCTATGACCTGTACCAGTTGCTAGGGACGTATAGGGACAATTCCAGATGCTCATTATTATCTATAAAGGATTTTATGGCATAGAACTTAGTGATTTGAGGAACTATCTATCTCCCATTGTTTGTGCCTACCCAATATGATTGGGGAGAATGGGCACGCCCCTGATCCTCTCTGTTAAACATCATTATTTGTTGACATCTAGGAAACAAGTTTTCTCTGTCCCCGCATCTGCCCTATATATTATTATTTCCCCCATAAATCAGTATGGTTACCACCTTAATGATGTTCCAAATGTTTCTGGAACATCAAACTGTTCTTCCAGGTAGACATAGGGTACCTGCTGAAGTTCACCACATGTAGTCCTTGACTTACGACCGGCCATCAGCAACTGTTACAACAGCCTCAGAAAGGATGCTTGTGGCCCACAAAGCAATTCTGGCCATAATAAAATGTCCCCACACAATGGTCACGTGTCCTCATTTTAGGTGCTTAGCAGCCAGTTCACAGTTATGACTGTTTGACATGCACCTTGTGACTGCTATGTGCAATCTTGAAGTGCAATTGGAGGATATAAGAGGTCCAGACTACAGCAACATAGTGAGGGACATGTTGTATCATGTGACTTTGTGACCTGCACAGGTTGCTAAAGGGCTTATGTAGACAATTCAAGATGCCAAAACCAATTCCGAAATTCTAAAATCAAATTCCAAAGTCAATTGAAAAGCTGTCAGGGAAGGTTGCAAGTGGAGGGAACCAACCAGAGGTGAAGACTCTTCAGTGAGTTATAGAAAGTTTGAGAGTGAAAGAGTTGCCTGATAAGAGAATTTTAATTTCACATGGAGCTAAAATACTTAAGCAGGCAACTCTTTTGCTCCATCCACTTAACAACCCCAGAGATCATCACTTATCAACTGCAACTGAGAGTGCTGGGATTGAGCAAAGCAGTCACATGGCCGTCTCATTAATGCCCATCTCAGTCAATGACTGAGATTCCAATCCCAATTGTAGTTATGGAGGACTATCTGTAGAAATGTTGCTAGGCTTAGGTTTTTTTTCTTTTCTATAAGCTGTTTCTTGATTTTATTTACTGTTCTTGCTTTTAAAGTACAAGCTACCCAAAGGCATGCAGGGATATGTATGCATGCATGCATGCATGCATGTATGTATGTATGTATGTATACAAACATTGCATGTATATGTAGTGTAGATATATGTTTAGCTGAATACTGTTGAATTTAGTTACAAATACATGGTTTTAAAATCAAAGGATTGCTTTGTGAAACCCAAATCATTTTTTAAAAAAAATAGGGGATCTAAAAGATTGGTGATATTGGCATTGATCCTGATTTTTTTTTTTTGTAGGGGTATGACAGCAGCATTTTATTATATTAAAGAAAAAATATAGAGTAATTAGTACAGGAATTAATAACAAAAATCAAAGTTCCATGATCACAGGAGCACAGAGGACAGGAACCATGGCAGAAAAGGCTGTTCTCTGAACTCCACCAGAAAGAATTCCATGACAGGAAGAATCTGCAGCATGTCCCTTCTATTGGAAAATGTGCGGCTGGCCAAACCCTTTGGGCTGAGACAGTTCCTCAGGTAGTAAATAATTTGCATTTAAGTAAATACAGAATATTTTGAAAAACCATATTAAATGCATTGCCATCAAATATGCTATACAGGTATTCCTTGCTTAATGACTATTTGAAGTTATGCCTGGAGCTTAAAATTAAGGCCACAGCAGCAGCAGCTCTGCACTCACATGATTAAAATTCACATGCTTGGTATCCTGCCTGCATTTACAATCGCAGGGTGCTATTCAACTCAAACACCCCACCCCCATTCTCTTCTCTTTTAGTCACTACCACTGTCATCTTCTTCCTGGTACTGACAAGGTGCACCTGGCCTGGCCTTTCATAAGGTGGCTCCTTGCCACACATCTTTCTCATAATCATAAGGCACAGGTAGTCCTCAACTTACAACCATTCATTCAGTGACAGTTCAAAGTTACAACAGCACTCTAAAAAGTGGCATGATTCTTTTTTCACACTTATGTCTAATGCAGTATCCTCATAGTCAGATGATCAAATTTCAAATGCTTGGTAATTGTTTCATATTTATGACAGCTGCATTGTCCTGGGATAATGGGATCATCCTTTGCAAATTTCTGACATGCAAAGTCAATGGGGAAGCTAGATTCACCTTACAACCGTGTTACTAACTTAAAAATGGTGGTGGTTCGCTTAACAACTATGGCAAGAAAGGTTGTAAAATGGACAAGATTCATTTAACAACTGTCTTACTTAGCAACAGAAACTGGGCTCAATTGTGGTCGTAAGTTAAGGACTACCTATATTACAAGGCCTCAGGAAGGCCATGCACAGTCAGCAGCTGCCTCACAAAGCACCAGGCAGTGCTTGTCATCAGAGCAGAAGATGGCAAAGATTTATTTGGGCACCAGAGCACCCTGTCACTTAGCACCGCCAGCGCTGTCCAGCTAAGTTTTCCCTAACCAGGGGCAGCCGCTTATCTGTCCACTGGTCTTTTTGCAAGCTGCTCAAAACTTGCAACTTCCTGTGGCTTCCTCATTGACTTTGCTTGCTAGAAGTTGTCAGGAAGTCCTGAGGATGTTCTCACTTAATAATTTGCAATCCTCATTTAATGATAGCAATGGGGACAGTCAGAATTGCCATTTGTAAGCAATGTGGTCACATGATGTCACCCTTCACACCTGCAATGCTAAGCAACAGAAATTCCAGTCCCAATTCCAGTTCTTAACCAAGGACTACCTGTATAATAGAGTTCAAAAGATGCTGTCTTTATAATGCTATTAATATTGAAAAAGTAAATCATAGTTTATTGTGTTGTGAAGGGCGTGGTGATAGGTCCTTCCTCTGTGAGCTGTGAAGAGCATCCACTGATTGATTGGGATGATGCTTCTGTCACTCATCTGATAGGCTCGGCTTTAATTGAGAGGACGCTCCTCCTCTTCCATGGGACTCCTCCCTAGCGTCCCCAGTTTTGGCAAAGTCAAAATGATGAAGTATTTCTTCTCCTTCACCCTTTCTAATACTTGGCTAGAATAGCATCCCACCAGACGAATAAGGGTGGGGATGGATGCTCTTCACATCTCACAGAGAAAGGGTGTGTCAGGTAAGTACCAACGCCCCTTCTCCAGATGAGCTGTTCAGAGCATCCATTGATTGGGCACACCAAAGCTTGGCTTGTCCTATGGGAGGGCTTCAGTCTGGTTCGGATTCCCCTTTTTCTTGGTCCCTATGGACCCTTTGTAACACTCTCCTGTCAAAGGCAGCCTTCACAGAGGCGAAGACATCATTCTAATAGTTTCTAAATAAAAGGCAATGGTGAGGCCCATGTTATCACCTTGTAAATTTCCTCTATTGGCGCTTGTGGCCCATGTTGTCAACATTGCAGCGTTCCAGGTCGAATGAGCAGTAATGTCCCTGGGTACAGGAAGAGACTGTGTCTCGTAAGATTTAGTAATTGTGCTCTCAGCCACCTACTGATCATTGAAGAAGAGGTCTTGCACCCAATGGTGGGTGGTTGAAAAGAAACAAAGGAAACCTCCATTTCCTAACACACGTGCAGTTGAAATATATGCAGAGAGCTCGC